CTATCGAATTCGACCTTGGGTCCGCAGAAGCTTCCAGAGACACCTGCTGACTTGTGTTACCTAATGTGCCGAGAGGCGTCCCGATCTCTTCCCAATCTCTTCCTCTGCTGAGGGACACGCATAACCGTACGCAGGTAACAAAATGCACTTAGTGCCTCGCATTGGTGGATCGGCCCTGTGGAAACTCCACAGCTCCTCAGCGCTGCCAGCTCTGTGTGTTTTGTTCAGTAGGTATACGTTACGTGTAGGTGTATACGGTATAGCCCGCTGTGTGTAGGACACCGTGTGAGCTGTGTACATGCAGTCAGCTGTGAGCGCGACGCAAGGAGGCGCGCGGCGGCTCATAGCACGGCCGGCGCGAGCAGCGTCTCCACACCAGAAATATTATCGATCGGCCGGGCGGCGCGGCGGCGCGGCGCTGCGTGCCATCCGTGGCCGACCCGATCAATAACGGCGCCGATCAATACAATCAGTCGAAAGGCGAGCGCGCGCCGGCCCCGGCGCGACCGGCCGGTCACCGCCGGTCGCCAGCGCGCCACAGTGTGGTACTCGCCTGGTGACTGCTGGAAGAGCGCATACCTACACTACATCCGAACTGGATTGCAAGCATTCAATGACCTAATTCACAGATGAGAAGCCTCACATGGAAGATCAACCGATCCCATTGGCTCAGCCGTGGCTCAACACATCTTCACATCACATTGGGGCACTAGCGGATCCAGCCATTTTGAAATGGAGCAGCCAAAGCCGCCGGCCATTTGCGGGGCACTCCATAATGGTTTCCTGGATGCATCGATTATCTCCCTTCTCTCGGAGTAACTTTACCCTCGCTTTAACCCTCGCATGTGTGCGGCGTTTGCCAGCCTCTAATGTGTAGGGGGGGGGGGGGGGTCGGTTGGACCCCCCCCTTGCCGTTTGGCCCCTGATCGAGCTAGAGCTTCGCGGAAAAAACGAGCGTGTTGCCCGTGACGAGAGGAAGCCGATGATACCCAATTTTAAGGTCCTAGGTCATTGGTTGACCTTCCAGGTCAGGTCAAAGACCCAAAGTCGGGAAAATCGGGACCTATTAGAAAGTCGTAAAGTGTGGCTGCTAAGGGGTTTTTCGGGGTGCTGATCACGAATATCATGTTAGTTTTGATCACAGATGATGTCTTTAAGCATTTAGACCAGGTCGGGTCAGGTCAGGTCAGGTCAACCAGTAGGCGTCGTGACGGGTATTCGTAGTACGTGTCAACCGCCTCTGACAGCTTCGTAACATGTTACGAAGGCACCAAAACTGCTTCGTAAATGTTCAAATGGTTGCTAAATTCGAATTCAGCTCCAAAAACTAGCCTAGAAACATGTAAAACTCGAAAAAGTGAACCGAGGTCACCCGAGGTCACCAAAGGTCAATGACCTGACCTGACCTTGAGGTGACCTTGACACCCACCCTAATGCATGGGAGTAACATCAAAGCACATGTTTGAACGTTTGAAACCACGAAAAGCTTGCAAACGCGCGGCTAATGCGAGCCGACATACGCGGAATCGCGATTCCGGCCAAACATGGTCTCGGAAAAGAGGTCACAGGTCAAAGGTCATTTGGGTCAGGGTCATGAAATTTTCAGGGTCGGTGTAAAATTGATCAATGCGAGGGTACTGAAAGTTTCGTCGCGATCGGCCGCTTTTTACGCGAGTTTTTCGCGAAAAACCATGGGGGGGGTCCATCCGACCCCCCCCTACACATGCGAGGGTTAACCCCCACCCCACTGGGATTTGCGTAACGCGCTCTACTGGGGGGGGGGGGGGAGGCTCTTCGTAGCTCCTCCTCCTAACTCCGAAACTACTGGGCCGATCGTCAAAATTCAAACGGCGTCTGATAGCCCCGGAAAATCTGTCGAGCGAAACCTATTTTCATTGACCTCGAGGTCACCGATGACGTGACAGGTCAGGTCAAAGTAAAAATTATCGATGTTTGGTTTGTCATTAGATGTATTCATTTCAGACCGGTTTCAATTGTTAGAACAATCATCTTCAGTGAAGTAAAAACAAAAACATGTTACATGACAAGGCGGTTCAAATGAGTTGGCATGACACACTTCGATAAAATCACAGTTGTTGAAAAGTTCGAGCCATATTTGGTAAAACACTCGTGGTTCGAAGACACCGTTCAGTCGTAAACAAAGCACAGTTTGCAGGTTACTATAGTCTGTTCCATATCAAGCTTGCAGTCGGAGCAGTCGGAGTTTCTTCGGCAGATCGCTCCTCCGCTCAAGAATTTGCACCTCAAAATGTAAGAGCTGTATATACAGAAATCACGCACTGCTTTCAGCAGGGCACTTCGGCTGCAAACTTGAAACGGAACAGAGTATAGATAGGATCACTGTAGGTACGACGTACCTACAGTGGGTGAGCTGAGCTACTCCCGTTGATTTTTGGTCGATATCAATGGATGTAAATTGATTCCAAAATTCTAAGATGTTGCTGTTCACTGTCCAAAATCGCTAAGTTTTCCATGTGAAGGGTGTGTCACATTGGAGACTGTGGTCACGAATGGATGAATGTTTAGGTGACGTCAGTAAGTTACCTGTACGGTCAGATATTCCTTTGTGCTCACAGACTCTGGTATGAAGGCGTACCTACATAACTAAGTAGAGCCTATGTACGATTCCTCGCACGAGGAACAACGAAACTGATAAACAATGCCAGAGCGAGAACCTTTCGGGATACTGTCCTTGAAGTGAAACAGTGACGCCATCCTAAATCTAACTATTTTGTAGCACGATCTTGGTCTGAAATGAATACATCTAATGATTAACCCGCGCCCCGTAGGGCTATCGGCGGACCCTACCACCCGCAGGGGAGGGGCCGTTTCGCCCCCCCCCCCTAAGATCTCGAAAACTTACCGGCCGATTTTCAAAATTCAAACGGTGTTCGATAGCCCCACCGGGGAACTACCTTGTGACCGAATTTCATTGACCTAGGTCAAACCTATGACGTCACAGGTCAGGTCAAAGGTCGGATTTTCACCGTTCACAGGCATTTCAAGAAATGTGTTGTGACAACGAGAAAATTGGTAATTTATTGAAAACCATCGATGGCACATTGTTCGTCAAACACATAGGTACTTTGCTATCTGAGGTCACTGATACCAGGTCAGGTCACAGAGGTCAGGTCACTGGGGGTCACAATATGAAGTGTGCTGTGATACATGTTTTATGGTCCATTTTACATGACAAATGCGATTATGTGGGCTAGGCAGCCTTTGGGGCCAGCCTGGGTCACATTTTGGTGAAGGTCAGGTCAAGGTCAGGTCAAATTAGGTCAAATTTCAAAGTTGATATTTTTGCATAAAATGGGTATTGATTCGATGCAGCTCGTCACGGGGAGTCTAATGGTGGTCTTTGTTCTGCTCTACGAGGTCTAGAATCGCCAAAAATTGAGTTTGAAAGTTTGACGTCATCATTTTTGAACAGTTTTTTCGATATAACTTGGCAAAAAAACGAGGTATCGATATGAAATTTGGTATGTAGATAGAAGACGGTAGGTACTATCACATATATTCCGTTTTTTTAAACTCAAAAAACTTTTTTGATTTTTCGGCTAATATATCCAAAAAAATGTTTTTTTTTTACTTTTGGGGGTCAAAACTCAAAAATCTCAAAAATCCGAGATAGCAGTTTTGTAGCCCTGTCAATTCTACACCTTTTATGTCTTCAGTCTTGATCATTTTTCTGTATCTTCAAGGCTGTAGGCCTGACAGGTCTTCTCGCGAAGGTCTTTTTTCGGTCGAAAATGACAGAACATGACGTCCTTCTGACGTCATTTGTGGCCGACCTATCATAGCCTCTGGATTTTTTTTTTTTTTGTCACAATGTGTAAAATTGATGCCCGGAGGGGTCTGAAAGTTTGGTGGCGATATCTTCAGCCGTTTAGGAGATATCGACGGAAAAGGACAGGGAGGGGCCGTTTCGCTCCCCCCCCCCCCTACGGGGCGCGGGTTATTAACTCTACCACTTACCTGATAATATGTTTGGTTTGTTCACATTTTGGGCTCTGGCCGCCGGCTTAGAAGTCAGATCAGGCTCATTCTTGGTTTACACACTCGTGAACAGATGCTTTAGATACCCTGAGGGTGCCAAAGTTGTACTTTGGTTTTCAGGCCAGGGTCAGGTCATCACAGGTCACGGAAATCTATTATTATGCATCGGTCACGTGACGCATGTTTTATGGTCCATTTAGGCCATAGATTTCGAATTTGATGTCGTTTATGTCATTTGAGGTCATTTTGAGCTGAATCAAGCTTACGTCAGGCCACTTTCAGGTCAAAAGGTCAAATTTTGAAGTCGATTTTATAATTTTTTTCCCAAAAGTCAGTTTTTTGAGGAAAAAAATTGGGCCAAAATCCAAAATTTTCAAAAAACCGAGATAGCCATTTGATAGACAAAGTAAAATCACGTATAACCTTTTTTGTTACGTCTTGATTCCTTTAAAAATGAAGATGTTAGCGGCGTTTGAAATTTTACCGTTTTTGAGGCAAAAATGGCGAACATGACGTCACTAAAACGCCATTTTCTCAACAATTTCCGACGAATTTCCCTCAAATTTTGAGGGAACGTGTCAAATCGATGTATGATAAGGTACTGGAAGTTTGACGTCGTTGGCGTAACGCGTTTAGAAGTTATTGGCGAAAAACGGGAGGGGTCAGATTCTGCCCCCCCCCCCCAGCGGGGCGCGGGTCAATCCATCAACACGAGGTCACCTGAATCACCATATCGGAATCGGCCGATAAAATCGCACACTGGAATTCGACTGGTGTCGGTCGAATAGTGTTGCCCGAACGGGTGGCGGTCGAAGGTATTGTCCAAAAGATCGAATAGTGTTGTGCAAAAGGTCGAATAGTGTTCTCCCAAAGGTCAAATAGTGTTGTCCAAAAGGTCAAGTAGTGTTGTCCAAAAGGTCGAATAGTGTTGTCCTTACCGGACACTCGGCAGACTGTCTTCTCTGCTTCAAAGGCTTTTCAGCGATATGGGTGCAGTGTATTGTTGATACAAATCAGACCACAGGAGAGGTTACACGCTCTGGCCCCGCACTGGTCCGATGACATAAAACGGCTCGCCGGCGGCCGGGCTCGTCCGGAGCCCGGCCGCCGGCGGCCGGTCAGTCGGCTGCACGCTCCTCTGTCCGACTGGGAGAGCAGTCACTACGGCGGCTGGCGCGCCATCACAGCCCAGTCAATCAGCTACTAAACGGCGGCCCGTCCACACCGGTACTGGTGTACCGCCGCGGCCGGACTCCCGGCGGCACGCGGCCCTCAGCTGCGGCCACTGCGGCCCTCAGCTGCGGCCCTCAGCAGCGGCCCTCAGCTGCAGCCACTGCGACCCTCAGCTGCGGCCGACACTGAGCCACCACCGCCGCCACTGCGGCCGGCTCAGTCGGGACCGGCCGGCGCGCTGCCGGCGACACCAGGACAGTATCCCGGCCCCGGCGGCCCGACCCGGCCCCGGTGCACACACGGACCGTCAGCCGCCCTCTCCGCCCCGCCCCGCTACTTGAGCATGACGAGCTTGCCGCGGTTGGTGCCGAAGATGAGGCCGGTGCCGGGCACGGGCAGCCAGCGGATGCAGTTGATGGACACGTACCGACTGGCGCAGAGGGCGGGACGGACGGTCACTGGGCGGGTCCACAGACCGGGGCACAAACAGACCGGGACACCACAGACCGGGGGCGGGACCACAGACCGGGGGCTGGACCACAGACCGGGGGCTGGACCACAGACCGGGGCACAAACAGACCAGGGGACCACAGACCAGGGGCTGGACCACAGACCGGGAGACCACAGACCGGGGCCAGTCACCGGGCGGGACCGCGGACCGGGACGGGGCCACAGCCAGGGCACAACAGACTGGGGTGGTCCCACGGGGCCGGTCAACGGGCGGGACCACAGACCGGGGACCACGGGGCGGGACCACGGGGCGGGGCAGGAACACACGGGGCCCACACGGGGACCACAGACCGGGGACCACGGGGCGGGACCACGGGGCGGGACAGGAACACACGGGACACACGTCGGGACACCACACGGGGACCACAGACAGTCCGGGGTGAGTTTCCACACAAGGAGACCACAGACCGGATGCCAATAGACGGGGCCACGAGACACAAAAGACCCGGGCGGGAAATGCCAGACAGGGTCAGTACGAAGTCGAGGGGGTGGCGGCACCTACTCCGGTTGAATCGGTTAACACGAACAGACCCGTAATAAAAATGGGAATCCAAATCGGGCAGGGTTGAGATGAGCAAAAATTACCTGGATCAATGCTTCTACAGTTAAGACTAGGATGCAGAATAACCACTACGATCAAACTAAGCGCAAACATCTATCCTTCAAGAGGCATAGCAACTCTTGTCGATTGTCGTCTCAACGTGACCTTGACCCGTGCTTAGTATGGCACTTCATGCTCTCAGGGTATCTTCCCAACACTTTTGAAATCACTTCGGCTTAAATTCGGGCAGAAGCTACGGATTCCGCCGTTCATAAGCCGCGTCATGCAGATGCCCCAGAATTTGACCCTTGACCTGATCCTGAACCGAATTCTGACATCAATCTTAAGAATGCTTAGGGAAGATCTCGCAAAGAGCTTTCAAACGCCGCCTGGTGGGGCTCGATACGACCAATGGTTCTCGAGATAACAGAGGGGTCGTATCCGACCCCCCCTCCCCTCCCAACCGGCTGTCGCGGATAGGGAACTTAGCCCAGGCGGTGCCGGGATAAACGGCTTCTGAACAAGCCCGCTATGGGCTTATAAGTGGCTCTTGCCATCATGAGGCAATTAAATTAAATATTCACCCTTAGTATTTACCGTAAGACGTAAAGGTTGATGAGTACCCTTTCAAGTAATAAGATTGTCTGTGAACCCTTGTCTTGCCTGCTATATAACACAAACCCAGCAAAAACCCAGCAAAAACCCTCAAAAACCCTGGGTTCCCACTACCCATGGGCAAAATACCAGAAACCCTGGGTTTTTCACAACCCTGAAATCGGGTCAGGCATGAAATTACCTATCCACTATTTATTACTGGAGTGTCTTATGGACCATCACTCAAACGGCCCAGTGAACAATAAATGACATCAACGGTCCATCCTAGCTGTAGTCAAAATCATTTTTGTTTTGGTTAAAAACGACTGTACAAATTGGTCAGCAGTAGACGTTGTTCAAAGCTCGACACACCCGGCGACTCCAGCGCCGGTGGGGGGAGGGGGGGGGGGCGCTGGAGACGGGGACGCCCCGGTCGGGGGACGCGCCTACCTGGGCATCTCGCCGCTGTTGAGCAGCAGGTCTTTGGTGAGCACCAGCTGTGAGGTGGTCTCGTCCAGCCGGTATATCTGGGCCATCACCTGTCCGGCAGACACGGGCGCAGCGGTCACAGACCACACAGCCACACAGCGGCACGGCCACACAGCCGCACGGCCACACAGCACGTCCACACTGCAGCCAACTCAGAGAGACGCGCCCGTCCACAGCCGCATGTCCACACTGCAGCCAACTCAGAGACGGCGCCCTGCGATATTAGCCGCACGCTGCCAAAAACCAGCAAGCACTACAGCAAGCACGCTCCCACGCAGGCTTCGCCAGGAGCTCGGCGGCTACGGGGGAGGATCTGACTGACCTGTCTGTCGGCGGGCAGGGGGAGGGCCGGGGACTGACCTGGCTGTCTGCAGGCAGGGCCGAGGGGGGGGGGACTGACCTGGCTGTCGGCGGGCAGGGGGAGGTGGGACTGACCTGGCTGTCGGCGGGCAGGGGGAGGTCGGACTGACCTGGCTGTCGGCGGGCAGGGGGAGGGCCGGGGACTGACCTGGCTGTCTGCAGGCAGGGCCGGGGGAGGCGAGGAGGGGGAGGGGGAGGTCGGACTGACCTGTCTGGCTACAGGCAGGGCCGGGGGAGGAGGGGGAGGTCGGACTGACCTGGCTGTCTGCGGGCAGGGGGAGGGCCGGGGACTGACCTGTCTGGCTACAGGCAGGGCCGGGGAGGGGGGGGGGGTGAGGTCGGACTGACCTGGCTGTCTGCGGGCAGGGCCGGGGGGAGGAGGGGGAGGGAAAGGTCGGACTGACCTGGCTGTCGGCGGGCAGGGGGAGGTCGGACTGACCTGGCTGTCGGCGGGCAGGGGGAGGTCGGACTGACCTGGCTGTCGGCGGGCAGGGGGAGGTCGGACTGACCTGGCTGTCGGCAGGCAGCGCCCGGGGAGGGCCGGGAGGAGGTCGGACTGACCTGGCTGTCGGCGGGCAGGGGGAGGTCGGACTGACCTGGCTGTCGGCGGTCAGGGCCGGGAGGAGGTCGGACTGACCTGGCTGTCGGCGGGCAGGGGGCGGTCGGACTGACCTGGCTGTCGGCGGGCAGGGGGAGGTCGGACTGACCTGGCTGTCTGCGGGCAGGGGGAGGTCGGACTGACCTGGCTGTCTGCGGGCAGGGGGAGGTCGGACTGACCTGGCTGTCGGCGGGCAGGACCGGGGGGGGGGGGGGAGGTCGGACTGACCTGGCTGTCGGCGGGCAGCGCCCGGGGAGGAGGGGGGGGGGAGGTCGGACTGACCTGGCTGTCGGCGGGCAGGGCCGGAGGGGGGGGGGGTAGGTCGGACTGACCTGGCTGTCGGCGGGCAGGGGGAGGTCGGACTGACCTGGCTGTCGGCGGGCAGGGGGAGGTCGGACTGACCTGGCTGTCGGCGGGCAGCGCCGGGAGAGGAGGGGGAGGTCGGACTGACCTGGCTGTCGGCGGGCAGGGGGAGGGCCGGGGACTGACCTGGCTGTCGGCGGGCAGGGGGCGGTCGGACTGACCTGGCTGTCGGCGGGCAGGGGGAGGTCGGACTGACCTGGCTGTCTGCGGGCAGGGGGAGGTCGGACTGACCTGGCTGTCGGCGGGCAGGACCGGGGGGGGGGAGGTCGGACTGATCTGGCTGTCGGCGGGCAGCGCCCGGGGAGGAGGGGGGGAGGTCGGACTGACCTGGCTGTCGGCGGGCAGGGCCGGAGGGGGGGGGGGGTAGGTCGGACTGACCTGGCTGTCGGCGGGCAGGGGGAGGTCGGACTGACCTGGCTGTCGGCGGGCAGGGGGAGGTCGGACTGACCTGGCTGTCGGCGGGCAGCGCCGGGAGAGGAGGGGGAGGTCGGACTGACCTGGCTGTCGGCGGGCAGGGGGAGGTCGGACTGATCTGGCTGTCGGCGGGCAGGGCCGGAGGGTCGGACTGACCTGGCTGTCGGCGGGCAGGGGGAGGTGGGACTGACCTGGCTGTCGGCGGGCAGCGCCACCATCCGCCGGGCGGCCAGGCCCACCACCAGGTGCCGGCCGCGCGGCGACAGGCTCACGGAGATGGTGTTGGTGCCCAGCGAGACGCGGTACATCAGCAGCCCCAGCTGGTGGCACTCCAGGCTGTACACGCCTGGCGACGCGGCAGACGCCCGTCACTGTCACCCACAGTACTGGCCCCTGTCCAGTCACACATAGCAGGGGAGACCCGGGAGGTATGGGCCATCGCACTTTTGAAGAAAAGTTGCGTATTTTTACACATTTGAAAGCGTAAACTGGTAGCAGCCATTCTGTTATACAACCCACGTCATTTCCAAAATCTTCCACAGTCTCCTTCGGCATTGACTACGGTATCTGCTGTCTGCATCTGAAACGGAAAGGAAGGCATAGATTGAAGGCTAGGAGAAGGATGGCCACCACTGGACGGTCACTCGTGTATTTTGACTTGTGAGGAAAGGAATATGAAATATCACTGGTTGACTTATTCATTCTTTGCTGTAGGAGGGTGATTATTAAATTCCTTAGTTTCAATCAACCACAAATGTTGGGATAAAAATGGGACGGGTTTAGAAACACTAAGCGATCAAATGTTAAAGTAATAGTTCTGCCCTAGTCCTTGCCTATTTGCATCGTAATTTTCGGTTAGTTTTGGTGGTCAGGAATGGCATGTTCTTTTAGTATCAGCCAGCGTAGCGTTACGCCTTTTTTTGTGAAAATGATATAGGTTTTCACTTGTTTTTTTTTTCTCATCCTAGATTTTTTTTCATCATCGTCACACCCAACCAGAATCCAATTTTAGAACACTGGCATTGAGCGGTGATATAGCCTTTTTGCCCTCTTCGAGTAAAATACGGTACATACAGAAAATTCGCGATAACTTTGAACCAGGCTCGTTTTATGATGTCAGGCCATCGCTAACAAAGTTTAAAGCATGCAAATTAAGACTCGATAGACAATTTGAAGCTTTCTTGCAAGAGTGAAAAACCGGGTCTAGCCACTGCCCACTGGAAGAAAATTGCCTTTTCAGTTTTCACAAAACCGGCCCATAGCTCCCGAGTCTCCCCTACCGGCCCCTACCCAGTCACCCACAGACAGCCCCAGTCACCCACAGACGGACCCTGTCCTGTCACCCACAGACGGCCCCTGTCCCACCCACAGACGGACCCTGTCCTGTCACCCACAGACGGCCCCTGTCCTGTCACCCACAGACGGCCCCTGTCCCAGCCACAGACGGCCCCTGTCACCCACAGACGGCCCCTGTCCCACCCACAGACGGCCCGTCACCCACAGACGGCCCCTGTCCTGTCACCCTCAGACGGTCCCCGTCCTGTCACCCACAGACGGCCCCTGTTCTGTCACCCACAGCTGGCCCCTGTCCTGTCACCCACAGACGGCCCCTGTCACCACAGACGGCCCCTGTCACCCTCAGACGGTCCCCGTCCTGTCACCCACAGACGGCCCCTGTCACCCACAGCCGGCTCCTGTCCAGTCACCCACAGACGGCCCCTGTCCCACCCACAGACGGCCCCTGTCCCACCCACAGACGGCCCCTGTCCCACCCACAGACGGCCCCTGTCACCCACAGACGGCCCCTGTCCTGTCACCCACAGACGGCCCCTGCGACTCACAGACGGCCCCTGTCCCACCCACAAACGGCCCCTGTCACCCACAGACGGCCCCTTTCCCACCCACAGGCGGCCCCTTTCCCACCCACAGGCGGCCCCTGTCACCCACAGACGGCCCCTGTCACCCACAGACGGCCCCTGTCACCCTCAGACGGTCCCCGTCCTGTCACCCACAGACGGCCCCTGTTCTGTCACCCACAGACGGACCCTGTCACCCACAGCCGGCTCCTGTCCAGTCACCCACAGACGGCCCCTGTCCCACCCACAGACGGCCCCTGTCCCACCCACAGACGGCCCCTGTCCCACCCACAGACGGACCCTGTCACCCACAGCCGGCTCCTGTCCAGTCACCCACAGACGGCCCCTGTCCCACCCACAGACGGCCCCTGTCCCACCCACAGACGGCCCCTGTCACCCACAGACGGCCCCTGTCACCACAGACGGCCCCTGTCCCACCCACAGACGGCCCCTGTCACCCACAGCCGGCTCCTGTCCAGTCACCCACAGACGGCCCCTGTCCCACCCACAGACGGCCCATGTCCCACCCACAGACGGCCCCTGTCACCCACAGACGGCCCCTGTCCTGTCACCCTCAGACGGTCCCCGTCCTGTCACCCACAGACGGCCCCTGTTCTGTCACCCACAGCTGGCCCCTGTCCCACCCACAGACGGCCCCTGTCCTGTCACCCACAGACGGCCCCTGTCACCCACAGACGGTCCCTGTCACCCACAGACGGCCCCTGTCACCACAGACGGCCCCTGTCCTGTCACCCACAGACGGCCCGTCACCCACAGACGGACACTGTCCCACCCACAGACGGCCCCTGTCACACACAGACGGACACTGTCCCACCCACAGGCGGCCCCTGTCACCCACAGACGGCCCCTGTCCTGTCACCCACAGACGGCCCCTGTCCCACCCACAGACGGTCCCTGTCCTGTCACCCACAGACGGCCCCTGTCCAGTCACCCACAGACGGCCCCTGTCCTGTCACTCAGACGGCCCCTGTCACCCACAGACGGCCCCTGTTCTGTCACCCACAGCTGGCCCCTGTCCCACCCACAGACGGCCCCTGTCCTGTCACCCACAGACGGCCCCTGTCACCCACAGACGGTCCCTGTCACCCACAGACGGCCCCTGTCCTGTCACCCACAGACGGCCCCTGTCCTGTCACCCACAGACGGCCCGTCACCCACAGACGGACACTGTCCCACCCACAGACGGCCCCTGTCACCCACAGACGGCCCCTGTCCTGTCACTCACAGACGGCCCCTGTCCCACCCACAGCTGGCCCCCGTCCTGTCACCCACAGACGGCCCCTGTCACCCACAGACGGCCCCTGTCCTGTCACCCACTGCAGACGGCCCCTGTCCCAGCCACAGACGGCCCCTGTCACCCACAGACGGCCCCTGTCCTGTCACCCACAGACGGCCCCTGTCCCACCCACAGACGGTCCCTGTCCTGTCACCCACAGACGGCCCCTGTCCAGTCACCCACAGACGGCCCCTGTCCTGTCACTCAGACGGCCCCTGTCACCCACAGACGGCCCCTGTCCTGTCACCCACAGACGGCCCCTGTCACCCACAGACGGCCCCTGTCCTGTCACCCACAGACGGCCCGTCACCCACAGACGGACACTGCCCCACCCACAGACGGCCCATGTCCCACCCACAGACGGCCCCTGTCACCCACAGACGGCCCCTTTCCCACCCACAGGCGGCCCCTTTCCCACCCACAGACGGCCCCTGTCCCACCCACAGACGGCCCCTGTCACACACAGACGGACACTGTCCCACCCACAGACGGCCCCTGTCACCCACAGACGGCCCCTGTCCTGTCACTCACAGACGACCCCTGTCCCACCCACAGCTGGCCCCCGTCCTGTCACCCACAGACGGCCCCTGTCACCCACAGACGGCCCCTGTCCTGTCACCCACTGCAGACGGCCCCTGTCCCAGCCACAGACGGCCCCTGTCACCCACAGACGGCCCCTGTCCTGTCACCCACAGACGGCCCCTGTCCTGTCACCCACTGCAGACGGCCCCTGTCCCAGCCACAGACGGCCCCTGTCACCCACAGACGGCCCCTGTCCTGTCACCCACAGACGGCCCCTGTTCTGTCACCCACAGCTGGCCCCTGTCCTGTCACCCACAGACGGCCCGTCACCCACAGACGGACACTGTCCCACCCACAGACGGCCCCTGTCACCCACAGACGGCCCCTGTCCTGTCACTCACAGACGGCCCCTGTCCCACCCACAGACGGCCCGTCACCCACACACGGCCCCTGCGACTCACAGACGGCCGTGGAGGGGTGCGACTCGGGTACGATGGCGGCCAGCCGCCGACCGTCCTGCGATATGTCCACGGTGGCGTCGTTGTGCACTTTGCACCGGGTGCAGATCAGGTTTCGGGTCTCTGTAAGGCGCGCGGACACTTGGTCAGGGCTACGACACCACTCTACAGACGTGATGACCGTACTCGGCACTCGTGGTGCACCAGACGCGCTGATGACGGCGCATTATGAAAGTAGCATTATGAAGGTACTCGAATATGCATACGCAGTCCGTTGGAGTCGGGTAAGTTTTAGCTGTGAGGCCCTATGGCAATGAGCTGCTCAGCGCAGCTGGGGATGCTGCGTCAGCCGCGGCGGGTACTGGACTCCCCGGCGCTGGGAATGTGTGGTCCGGACTCCCGAGGCGGGCACCCTGCGGCCGTTCGGCGGCCCGGCGCTGGGAGTCTGTCATTATCGGAGGCGGCGGGCACCCTGCGGCCGTTCCGCGGCCCGGCGCGCTCACCGTCAGTCATGTCGGGAATCTGCTGGGCGGAAAAGTCCCAGGCCTGCAGCCGGTGGCTGACGTGGCCCTGGTAGCCGCCGATGCACGCCTGCATCAGGCCGTCGTAGCCGCCGAGCGCGTCCACCGACGGCTGGTCGGCCACCAGCATCGGCCTGCCGCCGGTAAGGCACGGGTCAGAGGTCAGAGGGGGCGGGGGAGGTCACAGCACAGACGTCACCGCACAGGTCAACTGGCGTGGGGGAGAGGTCACAGTGCAGGTCAGCCGGGGTGGGGAACCGGTCACTGGAAGAACGAGAGGTCATCGGAGGCAGGAGGGAGTCACGGCGCTTATAGGGTTGGCGGGGGGGGGGGGGGGCGTCCGATCCCCAGTGCCGAAACTCAGACCCGACCGGCACTGAATGAGGCAAACGCCAGTCACATCACTACATGAGCTGTCGGGTCAGTGCTAAACACGGTCATCAGCGGTCACGTACAGCGCATCAGGACCCGTCAGCTAACATCCCCGCAGACAGTCACACCCTCCCGCCGCCCAGCCTCACACTCACCCAAACACCTCCACCCCAACCACTCACCCAAACACCTCCCCAACCACTCACCCAAACACCTCCAGCCCAACCACTCACCAAAACATCTCACCCCCAACCACTCACCCAAACACCTCGACCCCAACCACTCACCCAAACACCTCCCCAACCACTCACCCAAACACCTCCACCCCAACCACTCACCAAAACATCTCCCCCTCTACTACTCATTAAAACAGCTCCCCTCCTTCTCCACGACTCACCCAAACACCTCCACCCCAACCACTCACCCAAACACCTCCAGCCCAACCACTCACCCAAACATCTCCCCCTCTACTACTCAATAAAACACCTCCCCTCCTTCTCCACAACTCACCCAAACACCTCCGCGCCGCCGGCCACGCCCAGGTTGGCTGACGTCGGGTTCCACGTGCTCAGTCCCGTGTACGGACGGAAGCGGTAGGGCGCCGGCGGCGGGCCGGCGCGGGCGGGCCGCCGGCCGCGCCGGCCCGCACCGCCGGCCGGCTCGGCGCGCTCGGCGCTGTGGGCGGCGGCTGGCGGCGGCGCGCCACTACCGGCCGCGCGGCCCGCCCACCCGGCGCCCACCATGCTGGCCCAGGTGGAGGCGGCCCGGCCGGGGCCGCGGCGCGCCGGCTGAGAGTCGGGCGGCGCCGCCACCACCGTCGGCGCGCCGGCCGGTGTCACCTCAATACGCGGCAGCTGGCGGCCGGGCGGCACGGGCGCCGTCTCGGGCGGCGGCTCCGGCTCGTCCAGCGGGTAGAAGCCGGCCGAGAGCAGCGGGTCGGCGTCTGAGCGCAGCGCCGCCGGCCGGGCTGGCTGCGGCGGCGGCGAGCCGGCGGCCGCCGTCTCCTGCTCCGGCTCCGGGTCGTGCTGCTCCAGGTGGCGGGCGGCGTCCAGCAGCATGCCCAGCCGGCCGCCGTCGGGCGCCGCCTCCTGTCGCCGGCCGCCGCCGCCCGGCCCCACCGACTGGCGCCGCGTGCGCCGACGCCACTCCAGGAAGTCGGCCAGCAGCATGCGGTTCCGGTTGCGGCGGAAGCCGAGCAGCTCGTGGTCGGGCGCCAGCGCCTCCAGCCAGTCGTCGGAGACGCCCGCCGACCACGGCGAGTCGCCGGCCGGCCGCGGCTCCGTCTCGCCCCAGTGCGGTGGCGGCGCGCCGCGCCCGGCCGCCGGCCGCGTGTCCGCTGCGTCGGCCGCCGGCCGCGTGTCCGCTGCGTCGGCCGCCGGCTCGCGCGCGCTCTGCCGGCGCAGCCGCTCCCAGGCGCCCAGGATGGAGCGCATGCTGGAGACGGACCTGTCGCCGGCGGCCGGTGCCGGCGGCGAGGCCGGCCGGCCGCCGCCGCCCTCGCGGCCCGCCTGTCGCCGCAGGCTGGCCAGCAGTCGGGAGCGCTCCGCCTCCGTGGCCGGCGAGCGCCGCAGCCAGAGGGCGCGCTCCTCAGAGCCCATCGGGCCCAGCGGCCGCCGCTCGTCGGGCCTGCGCGCACGCGCGGGGAGAGGGGGCAGTCAGTCACAGCTTGGACAATGGACAGGGGGGGGGGGGGACAGTCAGTCACAGCTCGGACGGTCGACAGGGGGGGGGGGCAGTCAGTCACAGCTCACAGACAGTGGACGGGGGGGGGGGCAGTCAGTCACAGCTCGGAAATGGACAGAGGGGGGGAGTCAGTCACAGCTCGGACAATGGACAGAGGGGGGGGGCAGTCAGTCACAGCTCACAGACCAGGATAGTGGTCTGTGGACAGTATGCATACTGTAAGTGGACAGTATGGATCCAACGGGCAGCAGAAGTGTCTATAAACTGAGCCAAGGAGCAGTACTCTGAATAACAGTACTCTGAGTGACATAGGTCAAATCAGTCCCGCGATCTGACTCACGCTCTGCCGGAGGGCGGCGTCCAGGAGAAGCGGGGCTCGGGCGGCGGCACCGGCCGAGGCGCCGGCCGCGGGCCCTCCAGTGACAGCCGGTGCAGCCGACTCGGGGTCTCCATGTCGTCCTCCTCCATGGCGCCGGCGACCGCCCAGCCGAGACGCTCAGCGGCCGGCCCGGGCCGCTCCGTCAGTCCGGGCCGCTCCGTCAGCCCGGCCCGGTCCGCGGCCGACTCGGGCCGATCAGCCGCCGGCCCGGCCCGGTCAGCGGCTGGCCCGGCCCGGTCAGCGGCTGGCCCGGCCAGATCAGCCCAGCGGACTCGCCCAGCCCGCGCGGGCCGGTCCGCTGCCGGCCCAGCCCGGTCCGCTGCCGACCCGGCCCGGTCCGCTGCAGGTCCGGCCCGGTCCGCCGGCGGCCGCTCGGCGTTGTCGGCCGGCTCCGGCCGCTGTCCGGCCGGCCGCGGCAGCCCGCCGCACTGCCGACAGCTGGGCGGCGGGCCGGCACCGGCGGCGGCGGGCGGCTGCCGGCCGCGGCGGCGCAGCTGCTCGGCAGAGAGCGGCTCCGAGCCGGCGGCCCGGCGCAGGATCTGGCGGATCTGCCGCTCGGCAGCCAGCACCTGGTGCTGCGTCTGCCGCGTCAGCTGATCGCAGCGCGCCAGCGAGTGCTGCAGCCGGTAGTGGGCGCAGCGCAGGCTCGAGTGCGCCCGGCTGGTCCGGTGCGCCGAGCGCACGTGCTGCGGGTCGCGGCGGCGCACGCAAAAGTGTGCGGGCAGCGGGCGTGTGCGGCTGGCGCCGTCCGAGCTCAGCTCGGCCGTCTGGTCCGGCTCGGCCGGCGGCGGCGGGTCGGCCGGCGCCGTGCCGTCGGCCGGGTCGCCGTCCGACGAGCCGCCGCGGTACGGCCGGGACGAGAGCCGCGTGCGGAGGCGCGCGCCCCGGCGCAGCACGGCGCGCCGGGTGGCCGCCGCCGAGGCGGCGCTGCGCCGCACCCCACTGCCGCCACCGCCGCCGCTGCCGCCGCCGCCGGCCGCCGGCGGTTCCCAGGGCGGCGTGGCGCCGCCGGCCTCGGGCAGCCGGTTCAGGGACGAGTAGAGCGCCCGGATCTGCTCCTGGAGGGCGCTCAGCATGTCGCGGATGTTCTGCAGCTGCGCCACGTAGCTGGCCTGCTGGCGGCCGGCCTCCACGCGTGACCTGCCGGCGGGACGCGCCGTCACGCAGGGGATAGAGGCACCACCCAAACCCGCCCACAGCTAGTCTGTGCAACGCCAATCAACCAATCAATATTACAGATCACAGTGGGCACTCCTTACAGCGCAACTCCATCCCATAGCAAGCATATGTAAAACCGCACCAATGTTTGCCATGGTGATCGGTCTGAAACAAGTCACACAACACTGTCGAGTTTTGCTGCAGACTGGGTGCAGCTGCCGTTCCCGCCGTGCGGCCGGTCTGTGGGCGCGCCCGCCAGTGGCGGTCCGCCGCGTCCGGCGGGGGCACTGACCGTCTGGTGGCGCGGTGCATGTTGGCCACGTGTGTGGTGATGGCGTCCAGTCGCGAGCGGAACTCGTCGCCCAGGCGTCCGGCGGCGGCCGGCACCGGCTGTCGGCGCACCGGGCCCTCCAGCGGGTGGCCGGAGCCGGGCGGCGGCACCGGCTCGGCGGCCTGCCGGGCGGGCCAGGCGCGTCACGGACCGAGCGGGACAGCGGTACTGCGGCACACCGCGCCGCCGGGCGGGCCAGGCGGGTCACGGACCGGGCGGTACAGCGGTACTGCGGCGCCGGGCGGGCGGTGCAGCCACACCGCAACGCAGCGCTTCGGGTGGTCCGAAAAGAATGGCATAGCATCGGAACTGAATTCAATAAAGCAAGTCATGGGACACATATCAGGTACCCCCACTGTATACTACGTCGCCGATGTCGCCCGCCCCACGCTGCCGTGCAAAGGTAAAAACTACTATGTCGGGTCAGGGTCCAGTTCATATAGAAAAGCCAGTCGGCAAGTGTAACTTTGCCATAGTGTCACTTATCAAAGGGACACTTTGGGAGCGTTGGTGCAAGTGCGTAAGGGTGGCTATAAGATCCCATCTGTCGGATCACCCTTTCCAATAAGTGTCACTTAGCAGCAAAGGATCTCTATATGAACTGGGCCCAAGTCATGTTGGGTCAGAGGTTGGGTGACCCAGCACAATAGTCTTTGCCTTTGCACGGCCGCATGTCAGCGGAGCGGCCCTCTGTCCCTCACCAGCTCCCGGTCCACCAAGGCCTGCCCTCCCTGCCCTCCATCCCTGCCCCGCCCTCCGTCCCTGCCCAGCTGCCGTCCGTCCGTCCCCGCCCTCCGTCCCTGCCCTGCCCTCCGTCCCTGCCCCGCCCTCCATCCCTGCCCCGCCCTCCATCCCTGCCCTGCCCTCCATCCCTGCCCTGCCCTCCATCCCCGCCCAGCTGCCGTCCGTCCGTCCCCGCCCTCAGTCCCTGACTAGCTGCTCTCGGTCCACCAAGGCCCTGCCCTCCGTCCCTGTCCTGCCGTCCTTCCATCCCTGCCCTGCCCAGCCCCCCCCCCCCCGCGGTCGGCGCCGCCCTGCCGCCTCCCCCCCCCCTCCGCGGTCGACGCCGCCCTGCCCTCCGTCCCTGCCCTGCCGTCCCCCCCCCGCGGTCGGCGCCGCCCTGCCCTCCGTCCCTGCCCCGCCGTTCGCCCCTGCCCTGCCCTCCTTCCCTGCCCTGCCATCCGTCCCCCCCCCCCGCGGTCGGCGCCGCGCCCGCCTCACCGCGGCCGGCCGGCCGGCGGCGCCGGACTCTGGGCCGATGTCGGCCATCAGGTCACTCAGCGAGTCCATGACGCCGTGCGCCCAGCTCAGCATGTCGCGCGAGTCAGCCTCCAGGCTGGCGATCACGTCCGTGGGCGGCGCCGCGGCCGCGCTCACGGCGCGCGCGTACTGGCGCGCCAGCTCCAGACCCTCGTGGGCGGCCGGCTCCAGCAGTGGCGGCGGCGGCGGCGGCGGCGGCGGCGGGGGCGGGGGAGGCGGCAGCAGTCGCAGTACGTCGTCCGCCTGGGGAGTCGGAGGCAGCGGCACAGGGCGGTGACGATTGGGTAGGTGAACCAATATCAACAGTAGCGACATTATCATGACAGCACAGTCGATATATTTACCAGTAAAACGCCTTTTGGGCGAAGAACGAGCGAGCGAGATAGTGAGCCCTGCACGTGCGGAAGGGCGAGAAGGCACTTCCAACAGGCTTGTGCAAAGCACCCTTCTAACCGGTAGCTAGCGGTGTGCCAAATTTGAACGCAATCGGCCCAGCCGTTCCTGAGATCTGGAAGCGGGGGTGAGACTAAATGCTTACTTCGAAATCTAAGCTGCGTTGCAGCATTGGCGGTTATGTGCGGCGTGTATGCCGCATGATTAGTAGGTAAGCGGCGACCACTAAATTAAAAACTCAATAGCTTTGGCCTGTTTTCAATGGATAACACTGCATACCAAAAATGTCCATCGCTCTCGTCATAGGATATTTAGATTTAAATAACTAACTTATCTACATCATCGTTTTGAACCAAATTAATACTTTCAACTTGACCCTCGCCCGTATTGGTGTTTTTCCAGCCGCCAACGTATAAGGTATAACCCCTTGCCGTTTCGCTCCTGATCAAGCTAGAGCTTCGCGGAAAAAACGAGCGTGTTGCCCGTGACGAGAGGAAGCCGATGATACCCAATTTTAAGGTCCTAGGTCATCGGTTGACCTTCCAGGTCAGGTCAATGACCCAAAAGGCGGAAAATTGGGACCTGTTAGAACGTCGTAGTGTGGCTGCTACGGGGTTTTCCGGGGTGCTGATCACGAATATCACGCTAGTTTTGATCACAGATGATGTCTTCACTCATTTAGGCCAGGTCGGGTCAGGTCAGGTCAGGTCAACCAGTAGAGGTCCTGCCGGGTATTTGTAGTAGGTGTCAACCGCCTCTGATAGCCTCGTATATGTTACGAAGGTACCAAAACTACTTTGTAAACGTTCATGTGGTTGCTAAATTCGAATTCAGATCGAAAAAACTGGCCTAGAAACATGTCAAACTCGAAAAAGTGAACCGAGGTCACCAAAGGTCAATGACCTGACCTGACCTTCAGGTGACCTTGACACCCACCCTAATGCATGGGGGCAACATCATATCACATGTTTGAACGCTTGAAACCACGAAAAGACTGCAAACGCGCTGCTAATGCGAGCCGACATACGCTGAATCGCGGTTCCGGCCAAACATGGTCTCGAAAAGTAGGTCACAGGTCAAAGGTTATTTGCGTCAGGGTCATGAAATTTTCAGGGTAGGTGTAAAATTGATCAACGCGAGGGTACTAAACGTTACGTCGTGATCAGCCGCTTTTTACGCGAGTTATTCGCAAAAAAAAACCGAGGGGAGTCCGTTTGACCCCCCCCCCCCCCCTAAAGGGCGAGGGTTAACTCACAGTCCGAACTCCGAGCAAGTTCGGTCTTATTAAAAGATAAGCAAGTAATAGCCTTTGGCTCATTGTATAATAGACAAAAGAAATGGAAAAGAATATATGTGCGATATGTGCGATAAAGAATATATGTGCGATAATAATAATGGGGCTCATTTTCAAAGAAACCCTCAACATCATTCAACAAGTTCGGTCTTGTTTGTGAATTTGTCGGAGCATCACCTAAATCTAGTAGAGATGATGGTGGGAAACTAGGCTTTTAAGGAGGGAAGGGAGTCGGTGACGGTCAGGGGCACTACAAGTAGAGCAGTCATAAGCTGGTGACAGGGCTGACATACCATGTTTTGATAGCATGACTGAAACAGACTTTTTGGGTAGCCAGGAAATCGCATGCGAGAGCCTATTGAAATTCTTACATCGGCCTTTATATGCACCAGTCGTATACAGGTGCGGGATTTGGCATACGATTTCCAGACAATCGAAAGACTGTTTGGAGCCAACGAAGGAAGGAATGAGTGAGTACCTACTAAGTTGAAGGCATTAATTTGGTTCAAAATGATGATGCAGATAACTTAGTTATTTAAATCTAAAGATCTTATGACGAGAGTGATTGGCATTTTTGGTAGGTATGCAGTGTTATTCATTGAAAACAGGTTGGAGCGTTTAAGTCTTTAATTTAGTGGTCGCCGCTTACTAATCATGCGGCATACACGCCGCACATAACCGCCAATGCCGCAACACAGCTTAGATTTCGAAGTAAGCATTTAGTCTCACCCTGGAAGCGGCATTCTGCACGTGCGCACGTGCAAACGGGGTCCAAACTGACTTTTGCACGGCACCCTACTAACTGGTCCCCAACGGTGTACCAAATTTGAGCGCAATCGGCCCAGCCGTTCTCGAGATCTGGAAGCGCCCCCTGCACGTACGCACTTGCAGTAGCACCCTCACCGCAACACACGGGAATGCATTGTCTGGTGGGTGCCTACCTGTATGTCAAGTTTCAGTGAAATCGCTCCAGTAATTATCGAGTTATTAAAATGGGAACAAATTTGGCACCTCGTCTTATTGCATTTGGCACGTGCAGTGGGGGTCACTCACATAGATGAAGAGTATCCGACCTTTGGTAGAAGGGATGCAGCTACCCTATAAAAGTTACCGCAAGAAAATCGCCTAAGCGGCTGCTAAGATATGTGCCTCTCAAAATCACTACTTTTGCAAAACAGCTTGAACACCCTTGAATTTTAACGTGCCACGTGCCACGACGGTCACTGAGATGTATCAAAAGTAGTCAATTACGGGGTAGAAGGGATGGGGCTACCCAGCAAAGAAGAACGCAGGCCAATCGGTCCAGCGGTTACTGAGATATAAACCTCTCAAAAGCGTTACAGGCCGGGCCGGGCCGGGCCGCTCATACTGAGATTTTCCGTTATATTGAAAAGACTTCGCTGCGCTCGCTGCGCTCGCTGCGCTCGCTCGCTCGTAACAACAATAGCGTTATTGCCGGACAGAAAGGAATAACGAGCGCAACACAAATACACCAGAAAAACGGTGCTTATGAAAACAGTTCGATGGTTACTTGAAACAGCAAACTACAATTGAGCAACATATAAAACAAAAACAAAATGGGACAATAAACGGTGTGCGCTGGCACGGAGCGCGGTGCGGCCGGTCTGACAGGGACCCACCTGTCGGAGCGACCTCTCCAGGGAGCGCTGGTGGCGCAGGGAGAGAAACTGGGCGTGCAGCTGAGCGTAGCGCAGCGTCAGAGACCGGTGCGCCGACTCGAGCAGCCGGTGGCCGCCGGCCGGATCCGCCGCCGCCGCCGCCGGCGGACCGGAGCCGGCCGGCGCCGGCGGCGGAGAGTCGGCGGCCGGCGCCGGCGCCGCCGGCCGCGCGCGCAGCACCGGCTCCTGCGAGTCCTGCCACGGCGGCGCCACGTTCGAAATCGCCGTGATCAGCTTGTAGCCGAGCGGATCGAACTTGACGTACCTGAGCACCGGGCGCGGACATGGGTCACAGACAGCCAGAAAATGCCGAGGGAGCATCGCCAAAGAGTCCCCCCAGCGAGCCACATCAACCCTGCGTTCACAGCACGCTATCACAAATCAAACCTGCCGTGATTGCCCCAACATCCATCCCTCCTCACTCTTTAGTTTCATTCCATTGCCTGAGACTGAGGATCCATTTCTCTACAGTGCTCTGCAGACTGCTGGCAGAGCTGTTTTCAGTAATCCCTATTACTCCAGGCCGTAGCGGAGCGGCGCACTGCTGTCCCCGGTCCTCCCCCATCCCCCCCGGTCCTCCCCGACCCTCCCGGTCCTCCCCCCTGCCCTCCCGGTCCTCTCCCCTCCCCTCCCGGTCCTCTCCCCGCCGCTGCCGCGGCGCTCACCGGAGCCGCTCTCTGGCGCGCAGGGTGCTGCAGTGCACGAACGGCTCCTCGTTCTGCCAGTTCCAGAAGTAGAGACGGTTACCGGTGGCGATCACCAGAACGTGATCGGTCGGGTGGAACGCCAGCGAGGCGATCACGTGCGTGGCGTCCGTCTGCCACCGCTCGCTGCCGCCCTGGGACGCCCACCGACAGAGCGTCAGAGAGACAGACAGACACAGACGGAGTGTCAGAGAGACACAGACGGAGCGTCAGAGAGACACAGGCAGAGACACCGACAGAGCGACAGAGAGACACACAGACAGAGAGACACACAGAGGAAGCGTCAGAGAGACACAGAGACAGAGACACAGCCGGAGCGTCAGAGTGACACAGAGAGCGTCAGAGAGACACACAGACAGACAAACAGACAGAGCGTCAGAGAGACACGCAGACAGAGACAAACAGACAGAGCGTCAGAGAGACACGCAGACAGAGAGACACACAGACGGAGCGTCAGAGAGACACAGACGGAGCGTCAGAGACAGACGGAGCGTCAGAGACACAGACGGAGCGTCAGAGAGACAGAAAGAGCGTCAGAGAGATAGACAGAATGTTAGAGAGACAGACGGAGCGTCAGAGACAGACAGAGCGTCAGACACACCGACAGAGCGTCAGAGAGACAGACAGAGCGTCAGAGAGACAGACAGAGCGTCAGAGAGACACACAGAGCGTCAGAGAGACAGACAGAGCGTCAGAGACACACAGACAGAGCGTCAGAGAGACAGACGGAGCGTCAGAGAGACACACAGAGCGTCAGAGAGACACAGACGGAGCGTCAGAGAGACGGACAGAGCGTCAGAGAGACACAGAGAGGCGAGAGCGACAATCGATAACGAGAGAGAAAGGGGGATGGAGAGAGAGAGAGAGAGAGAGAGAGAGAGAGAGAGAGAGAGAGAGAGAGAGAGAGAGAGAGAGAGAGAGAGAGAGAGAGAGAGAGAGAGAGAGAGAGAGAGAGAGAGAGAGAGAGAGAGAGAGAGAGAGAGAGAGAGAGAGAGAGAGAGAGAGAGAGAGAGAGAGAGAGAGAGAGAGAGAGAGAGAGAGAGAGAGAGAGAGAGAGAGAGAGAGAGAGAGAGAGAGAGAGAGAGAGAGAGAGAGAGAGAGAGAGAGAGAGAGAGAGAGAGAGAGAGAGAGAGAGAGAGAGAGAGAGAGAGAGAGAGAGAGAGAGAGAGAGAGAGAGAGAGAGAGAGAGAGAGAGAGAGAGAGAGAGAGAGAGAGAGAGAGAGAGAGAGAGAGAGAGAGAGAGAGAGAGAGAGAGAGAGAGAGAGAGAGAGAGAGAGAGAGAGAGAGAGAGAGAGAGAGAGAGAGAGAGAGAGAGAGAGAGAGAGAGAGAGAGAGAGAGAGAGAGAGAGAGAGAGAGAGAGAGAGAGAGAGAGAGAGAGAGAGAGAGAGAGAGAGAGAGAGAGAGAGAGAGAGAGAGAGAGAGAGAGAGAGAGAGAGAGAGAGAGAGAGAGAGAGAGAGAGAGAGAGAGAGAGAGAGAGAGAGAGAGAGAGAGAGAGAGAGAGAGACGCAACAAAGAATCAACGGCCCCCGGCTTGACTCACGTGCAGGTCCCTGTGTAGTGTGTAACTCACGTGCAGGTCCCAGACGCGCACCTGGCCGCCCAGGCAGCCGGAGGCGATCAGCTGGCTGTTGGTCGGGTGGAAGGCCACGCACCAGGGGCTGCGCGGGTGGCCGCGCAGCGTGTTGAGCAGCGCGCCGCTAGACACCTCCGTCACGTAGATATTGTGGTCGCCGTGTGTGGAGGCGATCCGACTCCTGCGGGCCACACGGCACTGGTCAACGGCAGCCGACACGGAACTGGACTGAGGACGACGGCCCACCGCGGCCCTGGCTCCAACCAGCACCGGCCTGCGCAGCGACCGCAGGCCCGCCGATACAGCGACTTTTCACTTTTAAGTATTTTTGAACAGTTTTTAAGAGGTAAAAAGTGGCAAGAACAGTCTGCTGCCAGGCTTCTACACAATATCATCTCAGTAGTATAACCGTCGCGACCAAGCCACGCTCCACTGTGTGGAAGGTATGTGAATACCGCGTGTGCCGGTGTGTGCTCAGTGCCGCGTGTGCCGGAGTTTGCGCTGCCCGACTCGGTCGGCCGTGTACTCACCCGTCACCACTGAACGCCATCAGAAATGTCGACTTGGCGCTGCCCGGGATACGGCACGGCTGGGGGCGCGCCAGGGGCGCAGGTCAGCGTCACTGACAGGGGTACAGGTCAGGGCCATGGCTAGGGCACCATCATAGGACAGGGCAGCGACATCAGACATGAGCTTATGCTGCGTACTCGTCAGTTGCCCAACCTTTTCTTTGCCACCGCCCATTACTATGGTCTGCAATTACCAGAAATGAAAAGTATTTATCGAATGAAGAATAAATTTCACAAAGCACACTTGTTATTACCGACCCGACCCGACCCGACCCAGCCCGTCCGGCCCGAAGCGGCCGGCGGCCGGCGCTGACCTGCTCCATGAGCGGCTGGGTGACCAGTTTGTCCTCGTGGGCGTCGAGCAGGCGGCGGTGGGGCGGCGGCCGGCGCCGGGGCCGTCCCAGTCCCAGCTCGCGGTCCTCCAGCGTGTGGCAGAGCTGCGGCGCCGGCTGGGCCGCGCCGGCCACATCCGCCGGCTTCTCCTCGGCGCCGAGCAGCAGCGCCATGGCGGCCGGGGCTCAGCGAACAGCGGCCGGGGCTCAGCGAACAGCGGCCGGGGCTCAGCGAACAGCGGCCGGGGCTCAGCAGAGAGCGGCCGGGGCGCCGCCTGTCAGCGGAGAGCGGGACCGTAAGAGTAAGATGTGCAAAAGTGTGCCTTCTTATTAAGCACTAAAATGAGAATTGCTATAACACTTCAGGTTGGTATGTCTTATATACTTAATGTGAGGAGACATCTACTCAAGCAACAAATCACAAGTTTTCCATTTTTGGTAGGTGCTAAGAACAAATTGAAATACCTACCTAACCAGCTTTGTGGATGTAACCCACCATCCTTAGCACCAAATGCCAGCCACAAAGTTATGCTGATTGAATTGAATATATTATTAGCATGGAATCAATTTGGATAAATTCTTAATTCTACATAATAAAAATATCAATAGGTATGTTGCAACTCTCTTGCCTCTGGGAGATTACACCAAGTAGGACATCCTTATCCTGGGTTGTTTTGAACTTGAAGTCTTCACAAAATAATCCAAGTGATTAGGAGCATTAGGTAACCAAGCACAAAATAATCATACTTAGCCAGCTGAGTGTGGAATCAAAATTTTGGTTTTGGAATCAATATTTTCACTTTCTGATACCAGAAAATCAATTTACTACCTTCCATGATTCTATTACACCCTGTAAGTTATCCTAAATTATGATCAGAGCTATATCAGACATTGTGGTCAGTGGATTGCTTCAATAGTATGCTGGAGCCTGCAGCATCAGGTTATCTACTGCCTGAATGAGCCACCTATTTTCAAAGGATTGACAGCATAGTGACAGTGGGGCTGAATTGATACCCAAATATGGTCATAAATCAACGTTTATGCTTCCATGTTTTATTCCACTACTCTTGTTTCTCCAATTGATTTAATTTGTGGTTAAAAGGCATATGGGATCAGGAATGCATCTTTATTTTATATTTCTGCAAGCAAAACCTTGTAATGCTGCAAAAGCTTTTAATATTCACTAATGAACTGAGCTAAATTTGTGCTCTACTTATTTTCTTACCATAATATTGATGGAAGTTTCTCTTTAGCTGAGTACTCATACTAGTACATCTCTAACAAGGAATCATGAAAAGGGTAAGTACCTCGGTACCTACCTTACCTTTAATGATATTGGCTTGACATTAACTTATTCATTGCCAAGTTTATTGAAAGATTAAATGTGTCACATTTTGCAATTGTGAAGGTAGGTAATGTAATACTTTGGGCGACCCTCGAACCAGGAGAGGCTTTGATGTCTCATTTTATTCTCCCCTTGTCTCACTCCAGTCTCCAGCCTCCTCCTGTCATTCCCGTTTTCACAGCATGCTTCCAAGTGTAGGCATATTGTTGCAAAACTGGGCAGAAACTTTAAGCGATGAGCCCAATCCTAGGTATTGAGCATCGCACATCATGGCATTATGATCTCAGCTTTCAGTGGGCATTAACATAGCGGCCATTCAGGGGAGGTGCCCTAGGGCGGAGTGTCACTGAATTACCACAAAATTGGCAATACAAATATAAAAATTATAGCCTACAGAGTCTTAAAGTTTACAACCTACAAGAATTTGAAAAAATACCTACCTTTTATTGAAAATTGCCACAATTTGTGTCACAATCTCCAAATACATGCCCTCAGGCCACCTTCCCTGAACGGCCACCAATAATAGCACGTCCCGCATTAAGCCTAAACCAAAACAGCTTGGAAGAAGGTGATCTTGATTTTGAATAAAAAAAGAGCACCTACAATGCAACAAAACGGTAACTATCGCTGTGGTCTGTGGATACCTACTCTGACTCGGTACTCATTGCCCTAATGCAAGAGGAAGATAGGTAATAAATAGGTGTTGAGTTGATAGGCAAAGGCGTGGGGTATTGATATATATATTTAATATACAAGCACATACCTTAAGACCACCAAAATGGAATGAATATTAAGAAGAATAAACGTACCAAGCAGGAATCACACAACAACAACCAGCAACAAACAAACCGCAGCAGGGCAGTGGTGGCCAGCGGCGCGGCCAATCTCCTGCGCTATAAATGTATAAATGCAAAGGTGTTCGAAATGTGCCAAAAGCGCTAAATTGAGTGATTTCTATATTTTTCTGAAGACTTTACTCGACGATCGGCAGGACACATTCCTGCCCAAGGCCCTACCTATTTATATATGTACACTGTGGCCCTACCTATATAGGTACAGTCTGTCTTAAAAGTACCGCGCAAAGTGGCGGTGGATCCATCAAGCCTGACCGAGAAAGGGCCTGTTTTAATTTAAGTCACCGACCAATTGACCTAGGGAATGGATAAGGATGTCAGTTGCTTCAGTGACCCAAATTTAGCAGGCCCTTGCTCAGTCAGGCTCGATGGATCCACCGTCACTTTGCGCGGTACTTTTAAGACAGACTGTACCTTCCTGCCTGCTTTGTTAGTGTGCGGATTGGAATGCCTTGTTGTGGCGGCTTGTGAGCCGAATTCATGATTCAAGGATTCAAGAGAAATGCCTTGATGTCATTCATCATTCTCTTCGAAAGGTGAAATTTCATCCACTTCACTGCACACAGGATGAGTAATGTTCTCCGTTCGCCTGGCCGTCCGCGTTATGAAAAAACGCCCTGACCTGGCGAGGGTTAACTCCGTTAATGCTGTAAGGAGCGGAAAACGCGGCACCCGCACCGCCTCCCGCCTCGGAATACAGGGGCGAGCCTCGGGCCGGGATCTACGTAACCCATTGTGGACCCGCCCGAGCAACGTACGCAAAGCCCGCAAACACGGCACACCGGCTGCCCAGTTCTCCCCGGGAACGGACCAAACTGCACTGCGCAGCGCCGAGAGCGGCGACAGAACACCAGCCCTCAGAGAATGATGCATCAAACTCAACTCCGAAACGACACGCTCCACAATCAACTCAAAGATAGGAGCGACTTAGGGCTACGTGTATTGTGACTACTCCAGCGGGGTACAAACTACAATGTAACAAAAGCCGCGGCCGCGCCGTCCACAGAGCGAGCCGCCGAAAAAATGACCCAACTACTGCGTGCCAGCTTGTCACATGCGCTTTAACAAATATTTTCTTCTCTCTATTTTCCGCGAAGCTCGCTGGTAAGGTACTGCCGTCTCAGTATGCTCTGGTACTGACCCGGCCTGTGGTGTCCACAGAGAGCAACGACGGTACATTCCTCCATACGGGCCACCAGATGTGATCGATTGCATTTCGGCGCGCACCGGCAGCGCCAGCAAACGGCCATGTTTCGACTGAGTTAGAATCACTGGCACTGCCCTCGATTACAATCACCACCCATAAGGCTCCCCAATCACCGCGCCGCCAGACGCCCGCCGCCCGGTCCGGTCCGGTCCGGTCCGGTCCGGTCCCGGTCCGGCAGTGGTCCGTCCCGGCCTCCGCCATCCCCCGTCGGCCGCCGCTCACAGGTTGACCACCGAGCGCAGAGCCTTGCCCTCGTGCATCACCTGCAACAGGCGTCATGATCAGACGTCAGCACAACACCCGACCAACCCGTCAAACTCTGTCCCACATCACCTGCGACAGGCGTGATGATCAGACGTCAGCACAACACCCGACCAACCCGTCAAACTCTGTCCCACATCACCTGCGACACGCGTCATGATCAGACGTCAGCACAACTGACCCATCCAACCCGTCAAACTCAGTCCCACATCACCCAATAGCACAACACCAGCCACTCTTCTGAACGGGAATGGCCCATACTGGCCGGCTTTTCTCAAAGTGCCGGCCTGTATTTTAAGTAAGCTTGAGAGACTTGTGAGTTAAGGCTTTAGAAGCTTTACAGGCTAGACGGAATGGCTTCTACAGCGGCTGCTGGGGCGCGCTCCATAAATACGAGTAATGGTGCAATCGGTGCAGTTGGCAGTGTCTGTAGATAAACCCAGACACGGAGCTGAAACACCGAATCCAGTTACACTAAAAACAAACTCGGAGGAGGAATAATACAAAAAGGTGAAATGACGGATTAATACATATAAAATAGTTAATTCCAAAATTGATACACCTGCAATTTTTCATCAATATTCGTCCCCAATCAGCGAAGTTGGCAGCAGCCCGGACGGCCTCGGGCCCTGACCTTGAAGGCCTCGTTGATCTGGTCCAGCGGGAAGTTGAACGTGACGAACTCGTCCACCATCAGCTTCTTATGCATGTACTTCTGGACGAGCTGCGGCACGGCGTCGCGCGACTTCCATCCGCCGAACGCGCAGCCCTTCCAGACGCGGCCGGTCACCAGCTGGAACGGCCGCGTGGAGATCTCCTGGCCGGCGGCCGCCACACCCAGGATGGTCGACACGCCCCAGCCCTTGTGGCACGACTCCAGCGCCGCCCGCTGAAACACCGCGCGGCGCACAACGTCAGATCACCGGCCGCCGAAACGGCCTTCACCGAGAACTAATTAACAATGCAATGAATATAATTAAAAAAACAGCAACAATAGCAGCTGACCGCATTTACTTAAGGCTTGAGTTCGCCATATTATCTAGGAAATGGGGCCCCAGTGCAAGTAACTTTACATGGCGCGCTCCTGTACAAAACCGATGTGGAGACATTTAGCAGATGGGCGCCAGTTCGCGAGGCGGCGCCGCTGGGCCGTCCCGCCGTGGGAGGTCCGGCACACCCGGCCGGCGGCGGGGCGCGACCGGCCGGCGGCGGGGCGCCCTCACCATGGTGTGGACGTTGCCGATGCACTCGAACGTGTAGTCGAGTCCGCCGTCAGTGAGCTCGGTCAGCACCTGCTGGATCGGTCGCTCCTGCTCCTTGGGGTTCACGAACTCGGTGATACCGAACGGCTTACCTGGAACGGCACACAGACCAGTCAGCCAACCATCAGCCCGCCCAACGTGTCGAGCCAACACCACTGATTATATAGGCCGCCCTTTCACACAGAAATTCCGCGTCACCAGTATCACTTTGCACCGAATCTCCGGCACGGCGAGGGCCATGGGGGAGTCTTGGGGGCGGCCACACGGTCAGCGCTCCCAAAGCACGGCTCCATCCCGAGCACCAGGACATCGTCCACAGGCACACGGTAAGCGCCGCCATAACATGGTTCCGTCAGGACCATAGCCACACCGTCTCAGCTGACAGCTCCACCGTCCCTCTCCGGTACTGGCCTGTCCCCCCAGTGACCTCCCTGCCCCGCACTGACCGCCCCCCCCCCCCCGCCACTGGACGTCCCTGCCCCGCACTGACCGGCCTCGAACTTGTCCGGGTTGATGTCGACGCCGATGACGCGGGCGGCGCCGCGCTCCCGACAGCCCATGGCCACGGCCAGTCCGACGGCGCCCAGGCCCCAGATGGCCACCGAGCTGCCTGGCTGCACGTCCGCGGTGTTGAGCGCGGCGCCGTACCCGGTCGAGATGCCGCAGCCCAGCAGACACACCTTGTCCAGCGGCGCCTCCGGGTCCACCTGGGCGCGACGGCCGGGTCACACCGAGCGCAGGGGGCAGACGGAGCGCGGGGCCAGAAGGACGGGCAGGGGCAGAGGGACGGGCAGGGGCAGAGGGACGGGCAGGGGCAGACACCGAGCGCAGGGGCAGAAGGACGGGCAGGGGCGGGCAGGGGCAGACAGAGGGCAGGGCCAAACGGAGCGCAGGGGCCGGGTCAGACAGACGGAGCACATCAGATGGACGAAGCGGGTCAGCGGTACGAAAAAAAAACAGGAGAGCGGCAGCATGTCAATATTTTCGCTCCACATTTTCTCTATGACCACGCCGCTGCCGCCGGCGCGGGCGGCCGGCAGACCCCCTCACCTTGCAGATGGAAAACTCGGAGACCACCGTGTACTCGCAGAATGTGGAGCAGCCCATGAAGTGGAACACAGACTTGCCCTTGCACGTGAACCGCGACGTGCCGTCCGGCATCACCCCGGCGCCCTGTGCGGCGGCAGGGGAGAGGGGGGGTCAGCGGGGCACACGGCGCCCCCACTCCGACAGGGTGCAGGCGCCGACCGGAGCAGGGCCGCACCGGTACACCGTGCAGGGCGGAAGGAGTCGCGGACGGGTACACACCGCAGTACCTGTAAGGCACACCAGGGGTACACGGTACGCCCCGGCCACCGTACCTGGGTGTTACACCAGGGGTACACCCTGGCCACCGTACAGTCCACAGCAGAAGTAATGTGTGGTTTCAGTCATGGGTATGTTCTGCTTCTGAAGCCTAGGAACTATTAGCCAGACTGCAACGAGACTTTAAATGTAGCTTACATGTATCTTCACCCTTGCAGCTACAACTTTATCTATTGAAGTCTTCTTTTCAATCAGTCCGCATTTAAAATCGTCGGTCAAAGCCATCCGTTGAGATTGGTAAAACCACACATTACTTTAGCGGTGGGCTGTACCTGGGTGGTACACCAGGGGTACACCCCGGCCGTCGTACCTGAGTGGAGCGGATCCTGCCGCAGAGGTTCGTCTTGGGCGACTTGCAGAACTTGCAATCGTAGCATTGCGGAATGTACAGCGGTACCACGTGGTCACCTGGAGCAGCGCCACAGGTCAGCGGACAGACCGGGTAACACGGGGACAGCGATATCGGCCACAGGTCAGCGGACAGACCGTGTAACGCGGGGACAGCGATATCAAACACCGTGTAACGCAGGCACAGCGATATCAAACACCGTGTAACATGGGGACGGCGATATCAAACACCGTGTAACGCGGGGACAGCGATATCAAACACCGTGTAACGCGGGGACAGCGATATCAAACACCGTGTAACACGGGGACAGCGATATCAAACACCGTGTAACGCGGGGACAGCGATATCAAACACCGTGTAACACGGGGGCGGCGATATCAGCCAGTTTAACCCTCGTCCGTATTGGCGTTTTGCCAGCCGCTAACGTATAGGGGGGGGGGGGGGGTCCGTTGGACCCATCAGCCATTCGGCTCCCGATCGAGCTACAGCTGCGCGGAAAGACGAACATTTTTTTCCCGTTACAAGAGGAAGCCGATGGTACCTAATTTTAAGGTCCCAGGTCAATGGCTGACCTTCCAGGTCAGGTCAACGACCCAAAAGTCGGGAAATCGGGACATGCCAGAAGTTCTTCCGATAGACATCGTTATGCTGGTTTTCGGGGTCCTGATTTCGATTTTTTTATCAAAGACGATGAGTGTATGCATTTGGGTCAGGTCAGGTGAACCAGAAGGCGTCCCGCCGGCTATGGTAGGTGTAAAAAACCGTCACTGACAGACAGCGTCGTAGCATGTTGCATAGGAACCAAAACTACTTCTCAGATGTTCAAATGGGTGCTAAATTCGAAAACAGCTTTAAAAATGCGCTAAAAGTTATAAGACCCGAAAGCAGCATGAGGTCACCAAAGGTTAATGACCTTGACATGGACTTAAAGCGATCAGGACACCCGCAATAATGCGTGGGACAAACATCACCTCACATGTTAGTATGTTTCTAATCACCAAAGTCTGGAAACGGACGGATAAGGACAAGGTGCGCTGACATACACCGAACCGCGACTCCCATCAGACATGGTGTCGGGGAACAGATTTGAGGTCAAAGGTCAAAATGTTCAGGGTCTGTGTACATAAAATTGATTAACTCGAGGGCAATGAAACTTTCGTCGCGATAGGCCGCGTATTTCGCGAGTTATTCGCCAATATCGAAAGGGGTCCATCAGATCCCCCTACAAGCGCGAGGGCTAATGCAGGGTTGCTATTTGTTTTCTCAAATAAATATGAACACTGTTCACGAGCGAGTGAGGTCATGAGCCAAATTTTTATAAATAAGCAACGAATAATTCGTGAATGTGCATGAACTGTTCGCAAACAGGGTAAGGGTAGACTATACCTACCCCCCTCTCGCTTTCCGTTACGCCTTAATTGAGCTAGAGCTTCGCAAAAAAACCATGTCCACTATTACAAAACACAGCGAGTGGCACAAAGTTTAAATATTTCAGGTCAATGAGTGACCTCTGAGGTCTAGTCAAATGTCTCTTGGTAGGAATTCATTTTTTTTGTGAATGACAATCAAAAATAGCTACAGAGCCATGATTTTTATACCATTGTGCTCGTCATTCTCAGGTCAGTCGAATGATATATTTTTTTGTTTGGGTAAAGTCAACTTAGGATGCTGACCTCGCGTCAAGATCAGGCTAAAGCCGCTCACGTCACGAAGTTGGTCAATGGTCATATTGCATATGATTCGATTCGGAAGGTTTTACTGAGTCCATTGGTGTCTTTCCCAACTCACTAGCTCATATGATTTAGTTATTTAGGAAAAACTCCAACGACATCAAGCGACCTGACTAATGACTCATACGACATCATGCAAAGTCCAAGAGAAAGTAAAAGTTTAAACGTCAGATCTTGCAGAGCAAAAAAAAAAAAGAGCGTTAGAAATCACGATGACATGTGCTTGAGTAAGGCAACTTTGAACGAATTCTGCAATAAAAACATTAAAGAAATATTCGTAGCTATCTTTAGAAAAGGTGACAGCTGCATTATTATCGAATAAAGGTGGCTTCTTGTTCTGGGTAGCAATTACCAGTGCATGTCCAAGAGTCAACTATCAAAAGCAGACAAGTCTGATGCTATCAGTGCCCGAGCTGTGAATGCCGGAAGCAGCGATTGCGGCAGCTGGCCCGTGCTGCCGAAAATCACAGGCCGGCTCTGATACATACAGCACGAGTGGCTGGATTACTCGCTCCGACTGATCCGTCCGACTCTCCGCCGACATCGCCCGAGTCGCCTCCGGCGCCGGCTCAACGCTCCTCTGCCAGCGAGTCACGGCGCGGCCGTCAGACACACACACAGACACACACACACACACACAGCGCCGGCTCAACGCTCCTCTGCCAGCGAGTCATGGCGCGGCCGTCAGACACACACACAGACACACACAGACACACACACACAGCCGGACCGGCGCGGCCGTCAGACACACACACAGACACACACAGACACACACACACAGACACAGTCGGACCGGCGCGCCAGACAAGTGGTGCTCCAGCCACTCGCTATCGGGCCGAGGTCAGCGGGCGCCTCCCGTCTGGCGCCGGGCGCCGCCGCGCGGGACGGGACCGCCGCCGCGCGGGACGGGACCGCCGCCCGCTCCCTGTCCCATCATTAACAAATCTCCAGGCCGTGAACGTGCCGATTTCTGTAATCAGCATAATTGTCATAGCCATCTTTTCGGGGAGCTATAGCTGTCAAGGTAACTGGAGCCGAACAGTGGCCCTGCTGAAATTTGGAACATGATTAGGGACCGGTTAGTAGGGTGTAGTGCAAAAGTCAGTTGGGACCCATTTTGCACATGCGCACGTGCAGGGTGCCGCTTGCAGATCTCGAGAACGGCTGGGCCGATTGCGCTCAAATTTGGCACATCGCTGGGGACCGGTCAGTAGGGTGCAGGGCACAAGTTAGTTGGAGGTAAACCCCCGCAAGTTCGCACGTGCAAGGCCCACCCTCTCGCTCGCTCTGTTGGTCGCTCCTCCCCAAAAGGCGTTTTACTGGCAAAGTAGAGTCAAACCACTTTTGAAAATTAGCGAACCATAGTGCATAAACAGGCGTGATACATCTTATTCGCAGTCCTTTCATAAGGGGCGCAATAAAGCTGTTTGAGATTCGTATAGGTGCGGCGGTTGCCAGGGCTGTCAATAGCCTGTGTGCCTCGGCAGTCACCCTTTAGCCGGCCGTGGGCCACAGACGGCAGCCACATACGGCCGCGGCCGGAGCGACGAGTCCCGCTGGCCGGTCGGCAGACGGCCCGGTCCGTGTCAGTAGACAGCCGCGCCGGTCGGTCCGTGTCCACAGAGAGCCGCGCCCCCAGGCTCGTCTGGCCGTGTGTTTGTTTACACACCCGTGGGCGGGGGGCGCGGCCAGCTCCGTCACCACGACCCGGCCGGCCGACACACCTCAACCGGCCGCACTCCAACACTTCGATCACCGCGCCGCGCTGGTGCGTGTCAAACAAGTTACATTTTGATGAAAAAAGACTGATATCTGCCTTAAACCTCGCCGGCCGAAGGGGGGGGGGGGGCGGGCATAGGTTCTTTTTTCGCGATAACTCCGAACACGCTGGCGATAGAGCTGAAACTTGGCATACTTGACCTTTGATTCAAGCCGGATCTTTTGACACCAACCGCATTTTCAGGTCAGGTCGGGTCACTGACCTATGACGTCATAATTGAACCTCTGCACGGTCTTCAGATGTCGCAACTTCACAACGCCCTCAATGCCAGAGGAGCTTTCACAAGGAAATGAAACTTGCAGGATCTAGTATCCATTACGAGTCTCACAACTTGTGTACCTCGGATTTTTCCTAAAGATCATATGAGGTCAGGTCATTTTCGTGACCTCAACAATCAACATTATAAGTCAATGGGGGAAAATGAAAACTGTTATTCTGGCGCCGGGAACGATCTCCAACTATCTCAAGCACACAGAATCGTGAGTTGATGCACTCCTTGCAAGGTTAGATGCGTCACTTTTGCAATGTTGACCTTGCGTGACGTCATTTATGACGTCATCAAGGTCATATTAGTTTTTCGTCAATAACTTCCGATCAAATTGAGCTAGCGAGTCGGGAAAGCCACCAATGGACTCAAGAAGACCTGCCGTATCGAATGATATGCGACACGACCTCTTTCGACCAACTTCATGACCTGGGGGCGCTGACCTGACCCTGACCTGAGATCAACAGGCAACAGCAACACCCTAAATTGACCTGACCCAAACAAAAAGTATATCATTCGACGCGCCTGAGCGAGGCGAACACGATGCTGCCAAAATCGCGGCTCTGCGGCCGTTTTTTGCGAAGTTATTCCCCAAAAACTGAACCGTATCTTGGGGCACTTGACCTGACCTCAGAGGTCACCGGTTGACCTAGGACCTTAAAATCGGGTACCAATATCTGCGTCTCGTAACGGCGCACACGCTCGTTTTTTTTCCGCGACGCGCTAGCTCCACCAAGGGCGAAACGGCGAGGGGGGTCGTACCCCCCCCCCCCTCGGCCGGCGCGTATGTAGAAAACTAATAAGTCCGGCGAGGGTTAATGGGGGGATGGGGAGGATAGAGGCCTTTTACGTTACCTACCACCACTTAGGCGAATAGGTATCTCGAGAACGGTAGCGTCATGCACGTTGCAGTTTTTTTTTTTGTCGTATCTTGTCATATATTTTCGCTTAGTATGTAAAAAATAACATGAAATTTCAAGGATACGTGTGCATTTGAACAACTCGAGGGCAGGTACCGAAAGTTCCGTAGTCATCCGCCGCTTTTTACGCTAGTTGATAGTGAAAAAGCTGAATAGGTTCATCCGACCTCCACCCACCCCACATGTGTGACGGTTAACCCGCGCCTCGCTGGGGCTTCTGGATTTCCACGCCCTGCTTAGGGTGGGGAGGGGGAGGGTTTGAACACCCCCCCCCCCATTCTAACTCGACTCCAGTGCGGTGTTTCACGGCCGCTGCTACCACGCTGCTAGCGCATTTCGCGAGCTGTCGTCACAACTCACAATCAGTGTTCGCCACGGGCCGCAAAATCTTAGTCCAGCCCAGCCCAGGCCCATGGGTTTACAGCCCGGCCCAGCCCGAGCCCATTCATGGTAAAAGCGTCAAAGCCCAGCCCGGCCCAGCCCGTCAAAAATGAATGTGTTAAAAATTATTGACACCGCACAGGTACCCAAAGGTAGCAAAGAAACAATATTTTGCGAGCCGCATGCACAATGCACATTGCATGCGTGCTTTATTGACTCGTTTTTTAGTCTTGCACAGTAATAAGCTATGTAGTTATAGTTTTTGTCTCAGTTGCGAGCCCCTGACTCCACTTAACAGTTCCTGGCCCAGCCCATCCACAGCCCATCGATCCTTCATATTTGAGGGCCCAGCCCAGCCCGTAGCCCAGCCCAGCCCATGGCCCATTGGGCTGGCCCGGCCCATGGCGAACACTGCTCACAATCTTGGAGCAACGAGTTTGTTGATGTCTCCATGGAAACCCGATTTGACAAGTATTCTGGCAGCGTGCCGGAAGCGTACTAGCTGCAGCGGCGTGAAACGGGGCCCTGAGCAGCGTAGCGATACGCGGCAAGCGTCGTTCGAAAAAGCGTCAAAAGTAACGATTAAATTACTTCAGTCATATTTTTTAGGTCAGGTCAAAAGTCAGGTCACTAGAGGTCATTGAGAGTAAATTTCGCCTATTTTCAGCTCAAACTTCGACAATATTCGACAAAGCGGCGCATACCTAGCTCAAGAACGGATAGGGTTACAGCACCGCGGAAGAGCGTATTCGATAGCTCTTTCAACACTCTTACTGCACACCGTCCTCAGATTTGACCTATTATTAACGGTTTAGCATCTAGAGAGCAAGAACTGTGGAGATAGACGCTTTTGCGGGAACTGTTTTTCTGCAAAAAACTTTTGACAAAATTTTGCACGAGCCTACTTTTACCGGCATCGTGTTCCTGTCGTTGAGACGCGTTGAATGACCTATAATTTGACCTTGAACTTAACTTAACCCAACGTCAACTTAACCCGGCCGGGCCCGGAGGGTAATCCCAACCACCGCAGCCCGGGGGGGGCGTTTTTCGGCCTCCCCCAACTCCGTAAACAAGAGAACTTCGGAAACAAAAGCGATACCAAATGAAAGGTCCTTACAAGACGTTTCTAAAGCACCTATTTTTGTTACCCCAGGTCAATTTTCAAGGTCAGAGGCCAAGCTGAAAGGCAAAAACCGGCATATGTGTAGTGATCTCACAGTAAGCGTTCTAGAGGACGGCAGGATGAAAAAAGGCAACATTGGGTGTCAAACGAAAGAAGAGAAGCTGAGGATTCCGAAAATGTGCCCGAAGTCATAAAGGTCAAGTCATGCTCAAAATTGACCTCAAACTTTGTACTTTTTCGTACATCTTGCGTGCTAACTTCCAAGATGTTTTAAAATGTTTTGAGGCTGAGATAGAAATAGGGACCTGAGAATCAGGTCCCTATTTGTGGTCATCTTAGGATACAAGGCTGCTCACAGGTCAAGGTCACAAAAGAATATCCTTGTTGGAGGCTATTTCATTTATTCAAGTTAGTAATAATAAATAAGACAATTTTGTCATCCGGAGGCTCTAAATGAAGGCTTAGAGGAAAATGGATACCAGAATCGTGATCAGCGGGTACGAATCCATCATAAACGACCTTTCATGTGTCAAGGTCAACCAAAGATCATTTGAGGTCACATGAGGTCAACATAAAACTTAACTTTTTCTAAACAAAATGTATATCATTCGACGCAGCTTGACAAGGCGAATGCGTTGTACCACTGCCGTAGCTCTGGGACCATTTTTGTCTAAGTTATTTGCGAAAACTAAAACCACAGCTCGGGGTCGTTGACCTGACCTCTGACCTCAGGTTTCTATTTTTCTCTAGGTCAAACGCTACACAACCGGGCTAGTAATTTATCTTTATCTCTAAAACTCAATTTTTAGCAGCTATTTGAAGTTTGCGTCTGTGACGCCTAAGTTTGCCGTGCAGGAGTCCAGGAAAATCGACCCTGTGACGTCATCAAGGAGCAGGGTCCATTTTTTACTTCAGAAGATGCCAAATTGATGGGAAAAAAGGTAATGAAAATTTCGCTTTCCTATCCCTAAGCGTTCGGGAGCTATCGCAAATATTCGCCAGGGGGGGGGGGGCAAAAAACACCCCCGGGCCCGCGAGGATTAAAACTTGACCTAAGGTCAAGGTCATGAGCAGACTGGAAAAGTTCGTGTCGCCTACCAGTCGATTCGTATCGTCAAACTGAACATAACTAAGGCATTTTCATTGCTTTAGCATGCCCCGTCAAAACCTATTGGCGAAAACTGCTGAACACCTTTCGTGACCTGATCAGTCCTTTTCTGGTTCAGTGTGTCATGTTTACTTGTTATTCGGTTTTTGAGAGCTTTTAGAATTGCATTCGTTCAAAAAAGGCGCCTTCAAATTGCTATCATTGACTTATAATGGAGAGGTCGCAAAATTGACCCGGCCTTAGGTCACCGATATAAAAATTCCGAAATACGTTTTATACTGGCTGAACGTTTCAAAGCCATCCGCCACTTGGTGTAGCTATGGTGTGACCTCACCCGAGGTGAGGTCACTTGACACGGCCTGGCCTATCTTGGTCTGAGATTTTCACAACATGGGGGATGTGTTCAAGCAGCCCCCCTCCCCAAGCAGCGTGAGGGTTAACGCTGTTCTACACTCGACCTCGCATGCGAGTCAGATTTTTTAGTCGGGGATCTTTTCAACCCGTGTGAGTATCTTCGAAGTTCACGAATTATTTCTAGCACACGTTGCCATCAATCGCCTAAACCTAAAGATTTTCAGACATCCCAGTCATCTCGAGTCGCATACATGCGGCGAACTTTTAAGCCTGCACTAGCTACGAGTTCTCTCCGCAGATTCAGTTCCTGCCGATCTGAGGCGCATTGATTGCTCTACTTTTTCTTAAAACGAGGTCAAACTTTTACGCAAGGGGAACCAACAGGCAACAAATATAACCGATTCTCTAGAGGGTTTTGTATCGGCTATCTTTAGTAGCTGTCTCGTCGCCAGCAGCGCGTTCGTGTTTCCATGAAGCTCTAGCTCAATATGGGCTGAACGGCTGGGGGCCAGCCAGCCCATATGTATACAGTAGCCGCTCTTTTGAAAGTCCTGATCCCTACGGGCGAAGGTTTCAAGGTCACCTAGCCTCTGTATCGGCACACGAGGCGTACTCTATTGCGCCTAAAATGCTGTAGATCTTGTTGCTATACATTATGACGATCATGCCTTAACAAAACCATCTGTTGTTGCTTTTTTAGAAAAGTTTTCGGATAATTTCGGACTAGGTTATATTATTATTAACATAATGGATTTGATTGATGCACATTTCGCACTGACACATTTCGCACATTGTCACAATTAAAGATCAGCAAAAGAAGACCACATATTTATCGAACTAAAACACTACTTAAGAAATATCCCAGCCGAAACGACAAAAATCATAGGCTAAATAGGTATGTCGACCCGCATCCCCCCCCCGCCCCCCGGGCCCCGAGTCGCTCCCCCCGCCGAGCGGGCACTGACCGGGGGACAGGTGGGTGACACCCTCGCCGACGCTCTCCACCAGGCCGCCGCCCTCGTGGCCCAGGATGCACGGGAACAGGCCCTCCGGATCGTGGCCATTCAGAGTGTAGGCGTCCGTGTGGCACACGCCGGTGGCCAGCACCTGCGGGCGCGGCGCCGGCCGGGCCCGTCAGATGGGTGCCCGCCCACAGTGGCCGGCCACAGGTGCCCGCAGCCAATCCACTGAAGGCATCTTTCTCTTAAAGTGACTATCCCACGTTTACGAACGTGGGATAACGTGGGATACCTCTCTCAACTCAATACTAACGTTAGTATTGAGTTGAGAGAGGCAAATTGGGGCTCCCGACTCGCAATTACCGGATTGGGCACTTACAGCATTGGGAAACGCCTTAATAAAATTGAACTTAAACGTCTTCAAAATATGTGGGATAAAGTTATATACTTTATAAACTGGAACTGCTCGAAAGTTTTTTTTTTGCCGATTTAAGTGATCGTCCCTAGTTTTGAGTTGAGATAGCCAAATTGGAGTCCCGGCTTGCAATTACCGGTTTGAGCCCTCACAACATCGAAAAATGCTTTAATTTAGAGCTTTGTGTTCAGAGTTCTGCAGTTATTGGATTCTTCATGCATTTGAGTGCCCCCTAGACTTTGTGACGTCCGTGCAGATCAAGTGACTTTTAAATCTTATACTTAAACCTTGGTAAAAGACTATTGTTGCTGTGGTTCAACTCGTACCTATACTGCTTTGCAGGCAACATCTGTCGCACTTTCAAGATGCAAATTATTTCTTCCAAATGGCGTCATGGGAACTTACAGCGGAGGCCCAAAAATAAATAAAAATAAAAGTATTTTATCTCAAAAAGCGGCGAATATGTTTTTTTTTTTAATTTGGCTGATACTCATTTTCACTGTTTTTGAACCACGGTACCTACATCACTAAAGCCAATTTATTAAATTCTCTTAAGGTCGGGGTCCCTTTAACTCTCGCCAGCATATGGGGGCGGGGAAACATGCCACTCCCCCTCCCCAAGGTAGTTTTTTTCTGCTCTGCACTAAATATTTGCTAGAAACCTGATTTTTTCGTATCCCTGCTTCTTTATCCTTTCTCAGCGTCCACTGAAAATTTCAAGTTTCTGTGGTTTTTGGTTTCGGAGATATGACCTTGTTCTTCAGGTCAAGTCATGACCCAAATGACCAATATCCAATATCTTACATTGGTTATGGGTCTTGTGAGCTTTTGACACCTTGATTTGACACCTTGATTTTATGCTGATTGACAATCCTATCTAGGGAAAATAATAAATTGACTTTAAGGTGATGTGCGGCTCTCGCGAGATTAAGCGGTAGGCTTTGCACTTTTGCATTTCCGGTTATATCTCAGAAACTAATCGATCTACAATGAAGCCATTTTACACGATCATGGCCGGCTTGTGAACCAACAAGTCGATCGCATCTTCAACACTTAAAAGCTTAAGACGACGAAGCTAAAGCCTGAAGTACACTAAATTTTCTAGGTGCAAAACCTACCGCTAAAACTCGCGAGACCTGTACCTACTTCAGTTCAAAAAGAGCACAACGAACATCTACAGAATTTCACAAAAATATCCGCCTGTTTTTTAGACACAGTACTTTGGTATTTTGGGTCTGCACTGTTCCTGTAACGTAACAAAGGCTCTTTACGAATATTTAGAAGCAATAGTATGGACTCTCATGAAGTTCAGAAAATATCGGGCGTATGTTATGTTTAGCTTGAAGGTCCGGCTCTCGCGAGTTTAAACGGTTGGTTTTGCCCTTTCTCCTTTTCGGCCATATCTCAGAGACTAATCGATACACGATGAAGCCATTTTAGAGGATCATGGCAGGCATGTGTACGAATAAGTCGATCGCATCTTCAACCCTTAAAAGCTTAAGACGAAGAATATATAGCCGGAAAGTTACTAAAATTCATAGGGGCAAAACCTACCGCTAAAAACCGCGAGGCCTGTACAGTGTACATACAGCTATGAGTATGGCTTTGACCAAGGTTTTAGTAAAAGGTTTCAAAATCACTAAATCTGCGCTGATGTGCTAAGGTCTAAGAAGGCATTTAAATGTATTAGTCCCTTAAAATTCGAGTGCTGCAGACTTTTAACCCGCGCCCCAGTGGCGGTCTCAGCCAACTTCGCCCTAGTGGGGGGGGGGGGGGGGCATATGTTACCACCCACCTCTAACTCAAAAACTAAGAGGGCTAGAAAGACGCGGTAAAAAGCAGTCGATAGCTCTCAATGCGTACGTTTGAAAGTATTTCGGTCATTTTTCACCTTAGAGCAATATTGGGGTCACCAGAGGTCATCAAAGGTCAAAATTTGCCAATTGTCATTATATTTTTCAGAAAACATGCCGCTATCTCAGGAACTATGGTAGCTAGAAAGCCGCATGGAACAGCAAACGATAGCTTTTGAACTCTTCTTTTGAAAAGGTCATTATCAATATTGACCTCAGGTCAACGGTTTAGCCTCCAGAGGGCAAAAACTAAAAAATAGCTGTTTTTACGAAAAGTGTTTTTCGACAATAACTTTCGACTGCAAAAAGCGACGACATTTCTATTGCCAGAATCGTGTTCCTCTCGCCGAGACGCGTCGAATGAACTAAATTTGACCTTGAAAGGTCAATTTGAAAATTTGACCTCAGGTCAAGGTCATGACCTTACCGGAAAAGGTCATGTTGCATATCAGTCGATGCGTCTCAACAAGACAAACACAATGAGACCATCCCCAGCGTTCTATCTCTTTCCAATCGCGAGTTATTGGCAAAAAACTGTTTGTAGCCTCAAGTGACCTCGGATGACCTGTCTAGAGGCTATCAGCAAAAATGACACCTCGGTCATCACGAGTGGACTAAATCATTGTGATTCTGAAATATTTGGACTGCTCCGATGCGTACACACGAATCTAGAGGCATTTTCATTTTTCTCCATTGACTTGTAATGGTAAGGTCACGCCACTGACCTGACCTTAGGTCACAGATATAAAAAATCCGAGATATACAAATTGTAGGCGCCCATAACAGCATGCAATCCACCAAGTTTAAAACCTTTCTGACAAACACTGCAGGCTGGACATGATTGCAAACTTCTTTTTAGGCTTGGTCAGTTAACTTGACCTTGTGACCTGACCTGACATGACCTGGGGTCAAAAATTTCACACATTGTCCAAAATTGATGTACCAAAAGCTACCGCAAGCGGCGCGGCGCTGCGCGCCGCGGTTTTTTATTCACACGCAAAAAACGCGACAGGGTGGTAACATATGCCCCCCCCCCCCCCCACTGGGGCGAAGGTTAAAGTAAATATTTCCGAATTCACTAAATATTTTCAGAAAGGCGAGCTCTTCCATTACGCCCAGCCAGTGACGGGCGCCGCCTGCTGCAGGTTTGGTTACCCACCTTGATGCGGACTTCTCCGGCCTTTGGCGGCGCCACCTCCACCGTCTCCAGACTGAGCGGCTCCTTGGGAGCCCAGGCCACGGCAGCCCTGCACGTGATCACCTGAAACACGAGCACACACCAACGTCTCACCACACAACCGAGCCAGTGCCAAGGGCCGCACAAAATCCTATCGGTGATATTTGTAGGTAATACATGCCTGAGTAAGGCTAGTGGAGGTCCTGTGCACGCCCAAGATCTCGTCAAAACCTGCTACGTTTTGCAGTCTGGGTGGTGGGTGGCAAAATAACCCAGCAACTGCCCGGTTATTTTGCAAATCCTTCAAACATGGTTTGAATGACATATTTAAGATATTCAAATTATATTGTGCAACTTACTCAATGAACTTAAATAAAAAGCTTTTTGACACCATCAACTGCCAACTGGAGATGTGGGGCTAGTGTGTCTATAGTTCAGGCATGGATGAAGTATTCCCCTTATCTCTGGGAATACCTAATCCATTTTTCAGGGTTCCTTCATTCTCCTTGCCATCCTTCCCTGCCTTTTTGTTTCCAGCACCAGGAACCCAACCAGGTGAGATAACCAGGTGAGATGCAGAGCATTCATATTTTTATATATTCATACTCCATGATCACAAATGACAGTTGCCAAAGTATGGCCTTGATGATGTTGACTGCCAGCAGGCTGTTCACGGGCCCTGTGTACAGTCGGACCGTACACAGGCTGTAAGCTCCGCTCAACGCGTCCCTACGTCAGCCTTCCGTCACCGCACACAGCAACCTCTGTGGTCGGTCGGGACTGGGACCGGCCACAGGGGACTGTCCACTGCATGCAGCTGTGATGTCAGTACCACCTACCAATCCCTACCCCCACACCTGCTGCACACACCACACTCACCGCACTCAGCAGTTTGCGGCGCCCGTGAACACCCCTCAGGTTATACATTGATATAGATCATATGATGACCAGCAACCACTGTATAAACCAAATGCTAAGCACATGAAAGCTCACATTTTGGACACAAAACCACATGCTTGTTCCATGTGGTACTTTTTGACATTTTTTACAGTAACACATTGTGCACTCAGAGCATGCTAATGGATAGGAAAATAGTTCACACAATTTATTTTAGGCATTTTCTGTTTGCAAGGAAACCAGTATTGTTTTTAAAAAAAAATGACATTTTATCCTAAAATTTATTTTGTGAAATCTGCTACACTTCCTGCTTCTGTCATAATGGGCCTCTCAGGTCAGTCGGGCGCACTATGGTATCGGCAGTCCATTTATGGATACGTATCTATTAAAGGAAACGTTTCCAAATTTGGAAGGCACTTTGTTCCATTTATGGAAACGCCAGTTCCAAAATTGGAAACGCCAATTTTTAAGCAGGCATATTTCAGTATTTCTTAAGTTAATAGTAATCTTTTCAGCTGGCGTGTCTTTTTGTCGATATGTTTTCTCCCAAAACAGTAAAATCCAACAATATTTTCGTACGCAAATGGCGAATCTGATGCCCTGACGCAAACCCTTGTCGACGTTCCATTTTTGGAAACGGAAGGTTCCAAAAATGGAAACTATGAGCCAACACAGGAAAAGGCATAAGCACCATATTATTGATATGTGGGCCTGTCTACCCCACGCCCTCTAAGTAATTGCCGAGCTATTGATGCCGGTACATGTTCCGATATGGGTGATTTCCCTTTGCATCTAAATTTCGTATGAATGGTCCTCCAATTGCTTGGGCATAGTGCCCGAAAGCCGATGTTGGTACAATAATGCTTACGAAAATGTGTCTTCTGGGGAAAGTCCCCAATTTCTAGGCACCTACATAAACCCCAGAACTGTCCAACCGTCTTGCCTACTAAGCTGCTACTGCTTACGAAACCCACATTATAACATATTTTAACTGTTGCAAGCATGCACGCGTGACTGCAGTAAGCGTCGCGATGTGCCCTGAATTGCGGTTAACAGACTCTGGCTTCCCAAGAAAAGCAAGGCTTTATAAGTAAGGTTGGAGTTAAACTTCGGCCTAATCAGGCCGGTTCAGAAGCTCCGGTTCGCATTTTATGCTGTCGGAGCGTGCACCTTTTCCAACCTTCTCGTGGATTATTAGAAATGAGAAAGGCAGAAAATGCTTCTAAAAACATTAAATGCAAATAAGAGTTGAAATACATATAACCTACTGCATCTGTGAGCTGTATGTACAACATGAGTTAAAATTCGTCATTTGTTCCAAAAATGGAAACTGTGCTTCATAAAGCATTATTCAATGGGCCTTACACAGGCACTAACTGAAGGCCTACTGAACTAATACGGTGCAAAGTGGGCAATTAGTACAGTTTGAGCATTTCCCCATCCATAGAAATTGTTTATAACACCTTGTCATCTCTTTTTCATATAATTGAATCGTTTAAAACTGGACGACAGCCTGGATCGCTTCCGACAAGCAGTAACATATCAGACCTTTAATGCAATTATTTACATACATTCTACCAACTTTCACACATTCGTAAGTTAAATGGGTGCTAAGAAGTTCAGTTTGCCCACTTAGAAGCATCTGTACGAAATATTTTCCAACTTACCGCCTTCCAAAGCCGGAAAGACGATCTCCGCACGTGGTCACCAACACGCCATTCAGGGCTTGCTTTACAGCAATGTAAAATATTAATGAATACCAGACAGCAAGTCTGTCAATTAAAAAATTGCCATTCTTGTGAAAATCAAATTTTTCCACAAAAACATGAGGTATATTTCATTAATGACACATAAAAGTTCACCTATCATGAAAAAATCTATTGTTTACAAAAGGAAGTGGACCGTGCAAGCCTGTTCAACAGCCGATTTTTCTGTTCAACGTTGGAATTATGAAGCGAAATGCGGTCTTTTGATTGGTGGCCTTTGTTTGATGCGGAAATCTATGGTTTGTTGCGGAAACTACCGAACAGGTTTATGTGCTCCTTGCGTTTCCGAAAATAGAAACGGAGCGTTTCCATTATTGGAACAGTTGGTTTTTAGCGTTTCCATTTTTGGAACTTTCTTCCAAAAATAGAAACGTTTCTATAAATGAACTGCCGATACCATAGTGCGCCCGACTGAGGTAGTTTGTTCCACTCACGGATAGTTCCAGGAAAATATGAGTTAAAGTAATGATAGGACAGAAGTTGTGATTGAATTTAGTCAACCTTCAACCAACATGAGTACAAACAGCATTCTGATTCTATTTGATTACATGTCCTTCTTCCTTACCTTCCCCTGGGTGGCTGACATATTAATGTTTCTGTTTTCCTAAATAAGTCGGTAAATGTCAAGTTTAAGTCCTAAGAAGATTTCAACAACAGCGTCACAATTGTAGTTAGGACCTAAACTTGACATATACCAATAAGTCTTGGGTAGCTATGTCTTGGATCTCAGTGCTGCACGCGCCCTCAAAATAATGCTGCACTGCAATAATGGACGACGGTGAAAACGACGGTGTAAGTCAATATACCCTGGGTGAAAACAGGGCGCCTGAGGCGATTTGATCAAGGTTCGCGAAACTCACATGTGACTGGCGCATGTGGGGGAGAAGTTCCAAATATCACGTGACTAATATGCCCTCCGGCGCCCTGCAGCCGATTCGCGTTGGTGCACTAAGGCTGGCACTTTATTTCAAGTGTCACTGGGTGATTTCGGTTTGCGCTGAGCCCAGGGACGTATCCAAGGGGGGGGGGGGCGACGGGGGCGGTCGCCCCTCCCTGGGCCCTGCCGGGCCCCAAAAGCGGGCCCGGCAGGGCCCGCTAGGCAGCCCGAAAGCGGGCCCGAAGGGCCCGCTTTTGGGCCTAGCCAGGGACAGTTTGGGCCGGCAGGGCCAAAAAGCGAAAGGGCCTGTTCAGAAGGATTTGTTCGAGCCTTCGGGTTCGCGGATGGGCCCCTGGGGCCCTGCCGGGCCACAAACGGGTCCGTAACTGGGCCCTTCGGTCCCACTTTTGGGCAGAGCCAGGGCAATTTGGAGCCCGGCAGGGCCCCAAAAGAGGAAGGACCCGTTCAGAAGGATATGGCCGTGTCTTCAGGCTTGAGGAAGGGCCCCTTTAGCCCTGCCGGGCCCAAACCTTATCGGTTTTGGACCCCAAATCCTTATCGGGCCCGAAGGTCCCACTTTTGAGCTAATTGGCCCTGGAAAAGTTATGGAAACCGGATCCGAAAAAATCTTCTTCCGGGGCCAGTCACTGGGACATCTTTGCCTGTTCGGGCCTTAGAAGTGGAAGGGCCCGCTGAGAAGATCTTGCCCAGGCTTTCGGGTCCAAAAAAAGGCCCCGTGGGCCCATACGGGACGGGCCCCAAAAGCGGACCGGGCCAAGCCAATGAAAACCTGGGACCCAGGATGTCTCAAAAAGCGAAACAGTCCGCACAGAAGGCCTTGAACCAGGCTTTTGAGCTTGAGTAATGGGCCCTTGACCTCGACAATGTACCTAGTACCTACCAAGAAAACTGGCCCGGATATGCGCTTCCGGGCCCAGTCTCAGGAACAGCTTGTCTTGGCCGGGCCCCAAAAACGGAAGGGCCCGCTGAGAAGGCCTTGCCAAGGCCATCGGGTCCGAGGAACAGGCAACAGCCGATGAAGGGCCCCTTTCGACTGACCCGACGTGGGACTGCTCCTGTTCTCCAAACAAAATCAGCTCCATAGTTCACACTATGTACAGTGGGTCTATTTAAGATCTCCAGAGCCACCACGTGGCGCTACGGTCGGGGTAGGGCGAGTCCAAATCCGGAGGGAAGTGAGGTCACCGGTCATTGTGGGGGAAGGAGGGAGGGGGAGTGACGCGGTATCACGGCGCATGGGGCGCGCGTATAGCGCCGGGAGTGGGCCGCCTAGGGCCGCCCGCCACTGCGCCGAGGCTGAGGGGAGGGGATGATGATTGCGGGTGCGTTCACTCCGGTATGGTGGTATCCTGTTCATGTGGCACCAGCAAGAATGCGACTGAAGGGAATCATTATCTCAAACAAACGGACAAGCGAGAGGCAGCGCCAGTTCCAGCCAAAACCTTGAACAATGATAATTGAAATCTAGGACGTATTAAAAGCATGCAACTATTCAGTCGATAGTTGCATGATGACAGTCTTAGGCTTTTCTAAAATGTTATTTGAGTTGGGTATTTTTTCATTTGGCACGTTCAGTTTTAATGAGTTTATCGGGTCGAACAGAATCCGAAAAGAAAGAGCTCCAGAAAAATGACCAAAAATATTTTCTTTAAAAATGAAACTAAGCTAGACATTTATAAGCGAAAATTTTGACTTTTTTGAGAGGATTTTGGGGAAAGATATTGGCGAAAGATGTCATCGTGCTTGTCTGTGTTGCAGTAGAAGAAAAGGTTTTGGTTCGTGTCCAGATAAAACCAGACCCGGGAGTGGGCCTCGAACTCACGACATCGCGTTCAGCTCACAGGTTACCCAAACTAAACGCTACGAGCACCTATCGCCCTGCGCAGCTTGCTCAGTGCTACGGCTATAGTTCGGCCACGGATGTTCGGCCAAAGTGTCTGACGTCTGTCAATGTCACGAGGCTAAGCCCCTAGGTAAATGTCCGTCCCGGTAGCTCGGTCGGTGGGGCTTTGGACTCCGTGTGGTGAGAGCGCACGTCCCGGTTGCAAAAGTCCGGGTTCGAAACGCGACGTGTGCTTGACGTTTTTGAGCTCCTGACGGGTATGGTTGTGGTTGGTGGCAGGCCGCTGCCAGGCGAAGTCAGTGAGGGGATCGGCCGTGCGCGGCTATGTGCGCGCGTTAAACTTTGGACTCTGAATTCTGCCATAGACCAGGAATTGCTTGATCGGAGGGTAGAGCGTAGGGTCAACGCAACAAGCTCAGCTTAGCGGGGACTCTTTCCTTATGATTCCTTTCATTCAAAAGGTTCGGGCCAAATATTAAAAAAGGGGGAGCCGAACCATGTTGGGTCGGGTTGAACCCGGAATTGGACCTGTGTCTTACATGCAATCATGGTCAGAGAAAACAGAGGCCAATTTCGGGTCAAATATTTTTATTAACCCGCGCACCGACGGGGGGGGGGCGGATATCCGCCCCCCCCTGAGGTTTTTCGCGGATAGCGGGAAAACCGCGGCGCGTAGCGCCGCGAAATTTGGTATGACTATTCTCTCATCAATTTTACACATGGTGTGCAAGTTTGAACCTCCTAACTTTTAAGGTCAGGTCACCAGGTCACTTTGAATGACCCAACCTCAAGTCACTTTTTTGCAACTTTGTCACCGTGCCAGAGCTACAGTAGATGTCGGAGGCCTTTGAAAGTCGCAGGATGTTATTAGGTCATTAGTAGCTACAATTTGTATATCTCGGAATTTTGATATCGGTGACCTAAGGTCAGGTCAATTTCGCGACCTCCCCATTATAAGTCAATGGGGGAAAAATCAACTCCCTGTTTTTACCACTAAAACGGGTCGGAATGGCCCCATATACCATACATGACTTCACATACGATCAACCTTCACTACCTTGAGGTCTGTTTTGCTGTTGGGCAGCTGTAAGGTCATGTGACGTCATCAAAGGTCACCAAAGGTTTTTTGCCAATAACTCCTTACAGGAACAAGATACAGCCGCGCGGATGGTCTCATTGTGTTCAGCCCGTCAAGACGCATCGAATGATATACATGATGACCTCGAGGTCACGTGACCTGAGGTCAACCTTTGACCTTGACCTTTCGAGGTCAACATATATATCATTCGATGCGGATTGACGAGAGGATCACGATGATGCCCTTAGTTTGTTCCTATCTTGACTACTTCGAAAGTTATTCGAGAAAAATCCTCTCGATATCTAGCGCCGCCATTTTGACTTTTTCGACCCCTGTGACGTCATCTTTGACCTGACCTGAAAATGACCTTTGTAAAAATTGTAGACCTTGTCCGTGCGTATCCGATGCCGTTTACCGCTTGTCGCTATCTTGCTTCGTTCTCGAGATCTCAGGGGGGGGGCGGTCATCCGCCCCCCCCGTCGGTACTAAGTTGGCGCAGACCCCCGTCGGTGCGCGGGTTAACTTATCTTATTGTTTTTTAGCTTACACGTATAATAACTTTAAGCTTTTTTTTAATCGAGACTTTATGCACAAAAATGTGGCATTCGTCCGCTTTTCCTCATCTCCTCTCAGCGACTTGATTTGACCTTAAATCTTACCACAAAAAATAAATCACCTGCGTGATAATTATTTGCCCAAGGGCGCTCTACGGAAGAAACGCCAGCCGGTCAAAAAATTGGCGAAAGATACGATATTTCTAGTGCTTGAATTATATTCAATGAAAATTTCAGGAGACATAAATAATATTAATCCTTCGGGCACTCGGAGCATTCGCTAGCATTCCATTGCCAGCTGCATTACCAACATCATATTTGCATTACTTTGGGTTCATCATAGTTGACAGTAGATGAACCGGCCACAGCAAACCCGTGCCTCATTATCCTTTCCTCCAAGCAGCCAAGCTAACCGGCCGCCCCGGCCCGGCCCACCACCGCGATATGGAACAACACTGGAGTGCACTGGCGGTCCCAGGGGGGGGCCACGGGGGCCATGGCCCCCCCTTTGGTGCTGAAAGGTGGGGCCATACTATCTTTTGGCCCCACCTTTCAGATCGAACAAAAGTCCTAGAAAAGTTTTTCGTATGTTTCATTTTCTTTCTTGCGCCATCAAAGGACGTAAATTTCACTCATGAGGGCTCAGTTTCGCATTCTGTCAATTTGGTGGTCAGCGTCGCTGGCACCGGTTCACGAGTATGGCCGGATCTTATATGGAATATCAGCGTGGGTTTACTTGAGGCTCTCGTAGGCCCAGCAATGGCTGGCATGAGACCCTCTTCGGCAGTGGTGGGTGGGCCCTGCTAAAGGAGATTGGCTCTAAGACACTAAAGTAAGACCTCATGGGTTGGTGCTGTGCACCTCAGAAGCCCGGTGGTGACGCCGTATGCCGGCTTGGTTTCTTAAGGATTAGCGTGGGAACTCCGGGGCCTGCATAGAGTTTGCATGAGCTAGTATGTAATCTCAGAGGCATGTGTGTAATGTGTACACAGTGGCGGTCGCGGGGGGGGGGGCATCAGGGCCATGCCCCCCCCCCAAGGTCAATAAAGGGGGCCATCATATCATTTGCCCCCCCCCCCCTCAAACAACCAATGGGCCCCCATATAGGTGTATGGGGCCCTGGCAATTATTCGATCGTCACGAAGCTAAAAAAAAGCCCACGCCCAGCTATTAATATAGCTCCCACACCGGTCTTTGAGCGTCCTACACTGACCTCTGAGGGAACTTCAGTGGCGGTCAAGTGCCCACGTTGACCGCTAAGAGCCTACATCAACCTCTGAGACCCCACATCTGGCCTATGAGGGCCCCTAACAGGCCTCAGGGGTCCCAACCGGCGTCTGAGGGTCTCACACCGGTCTCTGGTGGCCTTATTTCTGTCTGTGGTGTCCCAAGACGAAACCAAAGGTGCTAATGAGGGCCCCGCACTGGCTGCTGAAGACCCGATGCCGGCCTCTAAGGGCCTGCATTGGCAT